AGTGACCAAAACCGACCCGGGTGAGCTAGAGGCCTCCAACTCGCACAGCCCCTCCCTGGGGTGGCCCTGCACGTGCCCCACAAGTCACGTGCCTATCCGGGTTGGGAGGTCCAAGTAGCGGAAGAGTTGTCCAGTGCCAGTTCCAGACAGTACAGAGCAGAACTTGGTAAGCTACAGGAATCCAACTCCCAGAGGACCTCCCTGGGAACCACCCGCAACCACCCAGCCCTTTGGACATGATGACTGGTTGGGGCCAAGCCTCTCACCCTGCCCGGGAAGGTGACAGACCTGGTGACGGAGACTCTCTGTACGGCTGTGGCAGGAGGGCACTGGTGGACTAGCAGCCAGAACCCGGCACCTGATGACCCAGACTCTCTGTGTGGTGGAAAGACTCCCAAGCCCCACTGTTGAGATGGAATGCTGATCTCCAGCAATGATGTCCTCAGTGAGGCCAGACATGCATGGATGCTGTCAGGTTGGAAGCCAGCAGTCTTTGGGTGAAATATTTTGGGGTGAGGTGAGGCTTCTGTGGGCTGGACTCAAGCTGGAAGCTCACAGACCACAGTCTTTAGGGGCCAGGTGGCCAGGTGACAGCTTTGAGGAGTACAGGTTTCATGGCTTACCAGTGTGCTATTTGACCTAAGGCCCACCCACCCCTAAATGGAAATGTGAACACGGGGGGGGGGCACAGACAACTTTCTGGCCCTGCCTGGGGCCCAGGGACCTCCAGCACAGGGGAGGGTGGTGCTTTCTTCCCGGGCCCACCCTCCACCCACTGGCAGCACAAGCACTGGGAAGGGCCGACCCTCTCGACCTGCCCAGGGAACATCCGCACAGGGGCGGGTAGTGCTCTCTCCCTGGGCCCACCCTCCACCCACTGGCAACATTGTTACCAGGCAGGGCCGACCCTCCCGTCCTGCCCAGGGCCGAGGGAACACCCGCACAGAGGCAGGCTTTCTGCCTGGGCCCACCCTCCACCTACCGACAGCATGATAACTGGGCAGGATTGACCTCCCCCTGGCCTGGGGAACACTCGCACGGGGCAGATGGTGCTCCCTCCCTGGGCCCATCCACCCTTAAACTGTAAAGTAATCACCAACCAGGGCAGAACCTCCCACCCAGTCTAGGGCCTGGGGAACACCCACATTCACTCTCCGGGCTCACCCCCCACCCACCGGCAAAGTGATAACTGGGCAGGGCCAGCCCCCCTGCCTTGCCTGGGGCCCGGGGAACACCCGCACAGGGGTGGGTGGTGCTCTCTCCCCCGGCCCACTCTCCATGCACCAGCAATGTGATTACCAGGCAGGGCCGACCCCCCCCCCCTGGGGCCCAGGGAACACCTGCACAGGGGCAGATGGCGTTCACCCCCGGCCTACCCTCTATCCACTGGCAATGTGATCACTGGGCAAGGCCAACCCTCCTACCCTGCCAGGGGCCTGGGGAACACTTACACAGGGGTGGGTGGTGCTCCCTCCCTCCATCTTTAAACAGGGATGTGCTTACCAACCAGAGCAGAACCTCTCGCTCAGCCCAGGACCCAGGGAACCCTTGCACAGGGGTGGACAGCATTCACTCCCTGAGCCCACCCTTCACCCACTGGCAACGTGATCACCGGGCAGAGCCAACCCCCCTACCCTGCCTGGGGCCCGGGAAACACCTGCACGGGGCGGGTGGTGCTCTCTCCCTGGGCCCACCCTCCACCCACCGGCAATGTGACTACTGGGCAGGGCCGGGTCTCCTGCCCAGCCTGTGGCCCGGGAAACACCCGCACAAGGCCGTGGTGCTCTGACCCTGGGCCCATCCACCCTTAAATGGCAATGCGATTACTGACCAGGGCATAACCTCCTTCCCAGCCTGGGGAAAACCCGCACGGGGTGGATGGCATTCACTTTCTGGGTCCACCCTCCACCTACAGGCAACGTGACTGCTGGGCAGAGCCAACCCCCTCTGCCCTCCCTGGGGCCATAGGGATGAGTGGTGCTCTGTCCCCGGGCCCATCCACCCTGAAACAGCAATGTGATCACCGACCAAGGCAGAACCTCCTGCCCAGCTCGGGGGCCAGGGAACAGCTGCACAGGGGCGGGTGGCACTCATTCCCTGAGCCCGTCCACCCTGAGATTTAAACTTCCATTTCGTAAGAACTTCTTCCAAACATCAAAATCTCCCATTAAATACAATGTACAATGTTATGCCTTCTTATTCCACAGACTTATTCAATATCATACATACAGTAGTTGTCTCTTCTCATTCCATGACTCACAAAAAGCAAGTAAGATCTAATGAAACGTTAAGGCCAGCTGGTTGACAAGTGTTTCATCTGAAAATCCAGAAAGCTCCCTACGTAGTAACACCTTATGCATATCCATTATACTATACTTTTGGGGGCAGACCACCTCCAACACAAATTTAAAGTCCTCAGGGCTGTGCCCCTTCTCAGAAAAATGTTGGACGAGAGGAGCGTCCTGACATGTATGTTTTAAACGAGATTTATGTTCTAATACGCATGTCTTCAACGCACGTGAAGACTTACCTACATAGTTAAGTCCACAGCTACATTGTAAAAGGTACACCACACCTCTGGTGGAACAGGTAGATTAGGTGCTATAGATTTAAAAGAAGATGAATACTCACACCTGTTAAAGCTTGATACTGAACTTGTTCACCTGTTATTTGAAAAGACTCAATCTTGCAAGAATATGTACTATCCTTAGGGTAAGAGTATACACTACGTCATTATTATTTACTATTGTAATTTTCACTCACCGCTGTATTTCCCAGTAGATTTTGCACTAAAATAATGACAATAATATAATTTTATTTTAGAAATTGATGAATTGTAATGGATTTAACCATGGAATGAGAAGAGACAACTACTGTATGTATGATATCGAATTAGTCTGTTTAATATAAAGTTTTGTGGTACATTGTCTATATGGAGGTAACATTGTACATTGTATTTTATGAAGGAGATTTTGGTGTTTGGAAGAAGTTCTTACGAAACAAAAGTTTAACTCCAGAGAATTTCGTCCATCTGGAATTGGAATTGCACAAAAGAAAAGATTGAATTATATGCTGTAATTTTGTAAGATTATAAGCATCTTTTGCATTATTTACAGTTTATGTGGTATTCTTTAATCTCCAGGTGAGGGCCGGAGATCACTCAAAATTACAACTGTTCTTCAGGTAGCAGAGATCAGTTCCTCTGGAGAAAATGGTGGATTCGGTGTCATTATACCCTGCTGAGGTTGCCACAGCAAATTGACACTGAGTGCTCAAGGCTGGGGCACCCGCCCAGAGCCTCTTTCTAGAGTTTGTTGTATTTATTTCCACAACGGGCCTTATTCTTAGTAAATAGATAAATATGACTTGCTGAGTCATGAGTCTAAAGTATGCGAGTAATTTGAGCATTAAGGCCCCCTTCCGGGCAAAACATTTCTTTTTACCCAGGCTCCCGTGTAATTGAAGGTCTGATCTTTTGAGATGGTTTGTATAGTCTACTTCTAGCGTGAGGACTGTATTTATGATAATCATTTCTGGTTGCTGAATGTTTTATGCTGTTTTTATGCCCTGGCTAGGTTTTTAATAGTTTGTCGATTGTAATTTTTGGGTATTTTATTACGTTATCACATTATCACAAGAGCCAGTGTTAGTGGTTAGTGTTGGACCAGGACCTCAGCCACACAGTTTTAGATCCCCACTCACTACGAAACTCACTGGACTGTTGGACTGTTCGCTCTCTTACAGTCTCACAGGGTGGTTGTGAGGGTAAGAGGGAGGCACAGAGAACCACAGACTTGCCACCCACCCTGAGTCTTGGTGGAAGGAAGGGAAGGGCAAATATGTACTAAGTAAAGAAATGTTTTGACTCGTAAGCTTCCTGAGCAGGATCTTTGGAAAGGTGGCATGTACATTTTCTAACTAACTAAACTGAAAACAAAATTTTGAATGCTGGTTGCAACTAAACATCAGTGTTATCCTCTCAGGTGTAAACAACGTCTTATGCTTTGCTGTTTAATCTCATCAACTCATCCCTATTGAGTTGCTTCATGCCTTTTCTGACACCAAATGACTCATAGATGCAGCTAAGCGGCTGTTTGCTGAGCTTAAAATAGCTCTTCTGGGTTAAAATTCTGTCTTGATTGTAGAAGGATGCCAACATCTTTTGCTTTTCAATTTTATGTAGGTAGGTTTTCCTGTAGATTTTAGATGGTGTGAAGTGCATTAATCAAGTAAGGTGCAAAAGCCCTAACTGCTGTAAGTGTTTCCTCACTGTTCTGGGGTTTGCATATCAAAACGCTTATCAATAGGTCATGCTACTGGTTGGTTTTTTTCATAGCTCCTGGTCCCTTTTCTTAATTAGATTTATCACTGTATTTTCTTCCACCTCATGTATCACATTCATTTTTCCTGTGTGATGCAGCCTTGACAATAAAGCTCTTCCCAGTCAGCAGCATTGCTTTCCTTCTTTTGCCAAGGACAGGAGAAAGTAGTTCTGGCAGCATTGGTCAATTGCAGAAAGCTGCCACTTTCTCTTATAACGCAGTCTAAAGAATAAACTCACTTGATCTGTCCATGAGCCATTCTCTCTTTTGCAGTGCCAGTCAAGATGAGATCTGTGTGGTGTGGTGCTCAGAGCGCTCGACTTGGGACCAGGGAAACCTCGGTTCAAGTTTTCAGCCATGAAGCTGAGCGGGTGACACTGGATCACTTGCTCTCAGTGACCGCTTGGGGCTGTTGGGGGGTGGGGGGTGCAGAATGAAAGGAGAGAGAATCATGTATGCTACTTGGAGAAAAGGCAGGATAAAAATGCAATGCAATGTAGCTGGCAGATTAAAGGGAGGGGGAGTTGATAAATATTGATCTTGCTTGCCTTTTCCTTCTACTGTAAATAACAAAACTTGATACTCCAGGAAGCTTCAACAAGTATCTTGTAATTAAAATTCTTCATATTGTTGTTTGAGTCTGTGTTGCTGATCCTGGGCTTATTTTGTATTCAACAGATATATGCCGGGTATGTCGATCGGAAGGAACTCCTGAGAAGCCCCTCTATCATCCGTGTGTGTGCACCGGCAGTATTAAATTCATTCATCAAGAATGGTGAGCTTTCTTTCTTTGCAACGTATGCCCATACCTGTTCAGGAACTGGCGTGTGTGTGTCTCTGCACGATTATAAACATTAGAGGAACCGAGCAGAGAAACAATATTTCATTTTGTTCTTACTGCATTGCACATTAGCAGCTTGTATTAAGCTTCACACCAGATTTGACAAGAAAAACTTGTGATTAAGGGTTTGTAAAGCTTTCACACAAGCATGGGAAGCAGCTTGATGTCAAGGGGGAAGAAGAAGTGTTTATGCTAGTCTCATCCCCAGATCTGGATAGGTTTCTTGGATGGGTCCCTCCGACACATGATAACGACTGCCGATTTGGTGGCACATTCCTCAAGGATATCAGAAGGAATATATTCCAGGCCGGAGCGATAAGAGCAAGATGCTGTATCAAAATTTCCTCAACAGCCCCAAAACTATATACTTTACTGTTAGATGAATATATATATGATGAAATTGTGAAAACATCGATGATTACTTGGATGCAGGATATTGGTCATAATATTGATTTAGATAATTGGGCAAACATTTGGAAAGCAACAAAGTTCACAAGGGCTATCACATACAAAGAGAACATTTATAAAATGTTTCATAGATGGCACTGGTCTCCTGATAGAATAGCTAAATGTTATACAAATGTAACAAAAAATTGTTGGAAATGTAAGGAAAATGTAGAAACATATTTCCATATGTGGTGGAGATGTGGGAAAATCAAAAATTGTTGGCTAGGTATTCAAAAGGGTAATTCAAGAAATACTAGAAATTAATTTGCCCTTAGAACCAGAGTTTTTTTTTTAATACATTACCGGATGGATACAATAAATGTGACCTCTGTATGATAACATATAGACATCAGCTAGAATTCTGCTCGCAAAGTGTTGGAAACTGGACAGAATCCCATCAAAGGAAGAATTAATTTGGAGATTATTGGACATGGCTGAGATGGATAGACTAAACATGTTACTTCAAGGGAAGGATGAAGAAACTTACTTAAAACTATGGTCAAGAGTGTATATATGGATACAAAAAGTTACAAAAAGACTTTCGACTTTATAATTTAGTACAAGCAGACTCTATGTACATTATCTTAAAACTATAAATAAATTAAAACAAAATCCTTGACAGCAATGACCCAGAAGTAGCAGATGAACTGTTCAATGAACTCAGCGCTGCGTGTAGACAAAAATGGACTGAAGCAACTACAAATTTGGATTTCAGGAATTCCAGTAGGAGAGTTTGGAGCCTGCTGAAAATTTAGGTGCAAGCCCATCTGTGTACTCCAAGGAAATCCAGAGGTAACATCAAACTAGGTAGCTGTCTGACTGGTATCCCTATCCAGAGCTCCAAAGGATCGAGATTTTACAATCGGGGGGGGGAAAGACCCCCAGATTTAGAAATGGACCTGCCATTAAGACTGCAAGCTGTCAGGAGATTTCAGTGATGATGAGATTTCAAAGGCATTGAAGGACATCAAGAGCAGAAAAGCATCAGGCTTTGACTGCATCCACAAAGATCAACAGCAGCATGTTCACTAAGAAATAGCTTTCAGAGTTTCTCACTTGACATCATGAAAACAGGAAGACTCCCAGGGGAATTCAAGAAAGCAAAGATAGTTGCTATTGTGAAACCTGGAAAATGAAAACATCTGGTGGAAAGTTACAGACCTATTTCCCTTTTGAGCTCCTGTTATAAACTTCTTGAGAGGCTAATCCTGAACAGAATCAGTGACAAAATTAACAAACATGTCCCTATAGAGCAAGCAGGATTTAGACCCCGTTGTTGTTGTGAAGATGAGGTTCTTAGCTTAAACAACTTTCATTGAGGCAGGGTATCAGAAGACATCAGCAGTTTTCATTGATCTGACTGCTGCTTATGACAGTCTGGAGGGATGGTCTGCTGTAAAAGTTTTCACAAGTTTTCCCCTGCAGAACATTATTTCGACTCCTAAGTACCATGCTGAGCAATAGAACCTTCCAAGTAATTATTCAGCAAGCAGAAGAAACTGAATAATGCTCTATCTCAGGGCTCGGTCCTTGCTCCAGTTCTTTTCAGTCTATACATCTCTGATGTTCCTGAGATGATATCCAGGAAGTTTGCTTATGCTGATGACGTGGCAATTGCAGTAAGGCAAAAATCAATTGAAAGGACTAAGGAAATACTGACTAGGAATCTCAGAATTTTGGCTGACTACTACCATAAATGGCAGCTTATCCCAGGTCCAGGAAAAACAGAATGATCCTGTTTCCATCTTAATAACAATCTTGCCAACCGTGAACTGAATGTCTACCTTAATGGCACCCAACACACAATCATACAATCAGCCACACAATCGACACACTGGCAGTCTTTAAGCAGCGTCTGGACAAATACACCTAAGTATTATCCTTGGCATTATCCTTGACAGGACCTTGAGCTATAAACACCATCTTTCCAACACAGCAGTGAAAATACACACGCAAAACAATGTTCTCCAAAAATTATGTGGTACAACTTGGGGTGCATCTGCTACAACACTTAGATGCTCAGGTTCGGGGTTGGTATATAGTACTGCGGAATATGGTGCTTCAGTGTGCACCTGTCTTCCCCGTGTCCACAGACGTGATGTTCAACTCAACCCAACAATGAGAACCACCAGTAGAAATAGTAAACCTCCTATTGGCTACCCATGTTGTGCCACATCGCTCCCCCGCAACTCCGAAGACAAGATGTTCATCTTCATGAAGACAGAAAGATAAGTGAAGACAGAGAGTTGCCTGTCTACAAAGACATGGCTGACACAGGCCTATCCAGACTAAGATCCTGACACCCAGCAACAAGATCTGCATAAATCCTGCAATCACAAAGTTTTGATCTAGGGAATGAATGGTTGCAAACATGGATGCAATCAGTTCCACCTGATATCTATAATCTGATGGACACCAATGAGAGGCCTGCAGGATTTGACTTGTCACGTAAAGTGTGGAATAGGAACAGGCTTTGGCAGTTGTGCAGACCTGTTATTTAAATGGGGCAAAATACCTGGACCTGGATGTGATTGTGATGCAGCCTGCCAAACTATTTTCCATCTTTCGCAGAAATGTGAGTGTCATGCTTTCCAGGGAGATGTGACAGAGAGCTTTGAACCCTCCCCAGCTGCTATTGAGTGGATTGAAAATTTAGGTATTAGTATTTAGGGGGATTGCCCAATCGGTCTGCATATCCATTGTATCAACTTGGTTACGTTATTTGCATATTATTACCGTATTTTTCGCTCCATAAGACGCACCTGACCATAAGACGCACCTAGTTTTTAGAGGAGGAAGGAAGGAAAGAAAGAAAATGTAAGGAAAGGGAAAGAAAGAAATTGGAGAAAGGAAAAGAAAGGGAGCAAAGAAAGGGGAAGAAAAAAATGGGAAGGGACAGAAAATAAAAGCCTCTGTGTATGTTTGCTTTCCCCAAGTTCTAAATTCCACCAGCTGTTTTTTTTTAACAAAAGAAACCAAATTTATTTACATAATCTCATTTTAAATATACTAGGTGGTAAAGAGAAAGATACCCCCAGCTTATAGGCAATTGATTCAGATCAGGGCAGGCTACAGTGTGCTTCAGAAGGCAGAGGAAGGTTAAAGGGCTCAAGGCCAAACAAGATGTCCCAGGCAGCCTACAAGGAAAAAAATCAGAATCTCCCATCAAAGCTTCCAAGTGTTTCAAGGGCTGTGTTAGAGAGAAGCCCAGACCCCCCCCCCCAGCACTGTGCCAAGAGACATACAGATGTCAGCAGGGTGCTTTAAAATATGGGGGTACAATCAATTCCAAACAGGAGCTGCCATTTGCATTTACCCAGGACAGCTGAAGTGGCTATTCCTCTTGGGTGGAGCTAGCCGGGTACTTAAGAGACCTCTTGCCAGCCCACAGACCACTTGGCACCCATGCCCTAGGCCATACCAATTTCAGCTTAAAATATTCAGACATTCTATTCTTCATTCCCTAGGAAGAGACTTAAAACCTTCTAGTACCAGAGAGAAAGGATATGCTCAACAACCTTCTCCCTCTTCTCCCCAGAAATACATTTTTTTTAAAAAAGCCTTCAGCATTCCCCTGGCTATATTGCCCAGCATTGCAGAGGACATTTGTGTGGCTTTCTTTGTGCAGTGAGAATACAGGCAGTGATTGGCAGCAAATCCAAGAGGAAAAAAGGAGGGGGGGGGGGAGCATGCAGCAGTGATACAGCAGTGACAACAAGAATTAGCCTAAAGACACAGCAGCCCTCACCGGCATCATAGGAGAGAACAAGATAGTGGGACAGCCTGCGGGAATCCCCCAAGGACAGTTCATTGCTCACCCACCCAACAGGCTCCAGACAGTGTTTGCAAAAGTAGTGGGTTTCCCCCCGCTTCAGAACAGACCACCTGCTTCCTATGAACCCCTGGGGCAAAAGAGGTAGCATGAATCCCAACATCTAGACCCACACGCAAGCAGTGATTTCCTGCCTAAGTGTGTTCGTCTTATGAAGTTAATACTGCCTTCTCCCCCCCCCCCCAAGCCCACGGAGCCCATGGGAAGGCTTGAAGACTTACATTTTAAACGTTCTCAGGTCCATTAAGCACATAAAAAACGAAAGTAAACCAAGAGGACCAAACTAAATCACACAGAAATTAAGGGAAGAGCAGACTGTTCCATTGGGAGGGGGGAGAAGGCTGAACGGGGCTTGGATCTCCAAGCCCTGTTCAGCCTTCTTCCCCCCCTCCCAATGGAACAGTCTGCTCTTCCCTTAATTTCTGTGTGATTTAGTTTGGTCCTCTTGGTTTACTTTCGTTTTTTATGTGCTTAATGGACCTGAGAACGTTTAAAATGTAAGTCTTCAAGCCTTCCCATGGGCTCCGTGGGCTTGGGGGGGGGGGGAGAAGGCAGTATTCACTTCATAAGACGCACACACTTCCCCCCACTTTTTTTTGGGGGGGAAGTGCGTCTTATGGTGCGAAAAATACGGTATATGCTTCATGTGTAACTCTGCTATACAATAAATAATAAATAATGGAATGATGCAAGAGGTCTGTAAAAATCTCTTATCTTTTTGACTACCATGTATAAATCAGTGTAATTTATTTTCTTACGTGGTTACCTTTTAATGGAGGTATGTATGTTTTTGGGTTATTAAGCTTACATTTTATATGATTACTTCATATTTACTGTGACCAGAATCCAAAGAGGCTCCTGAGTGTGTTGATTTTTCTGGCAGCAGCCTCTTGACCTTTGTGGAAGTTCTTTAGATCTTTGTGGGACAGAAGGGCTGCTACCTTAAAGGACTGCTACCTTAAAGGGAAGGCTGACACCCCTCCCATGTACATAACTGTTTGGAAGATGCCCTCTCCATTCGTTCTTTGTAGCAGTGTCTTAGCAGTGGTGCTTGTGGTTTCTGAAGAACAGTACCCCTTTGCCTTCAGGTTTGCGTGCCACAATGCACTCACTATCAGGGAGGTGAAGATATTTAGCGAACACGCTTCCCTTAATTTTTTGTTGTTGTTGTATATTTGAATTACTGTAAATGTTAAATAGTATGTTCTTAGCAAAAGGTCAATATACTTTTTAGAAAATATATTTTACTGATTTTGCTCATATCTTTTGATTAGCAGATTTTTTAATTACTTCTTAAACTGTGAATACATTTTAGTGATATGTTTTTTAATTGCAGCTTAGTTCAGTGGCTCAAACACAGCAGAAAAGAATACTGTGAACTATGTAAACACAGATTTGCTTTTACACCAAGTAAGTATATAATATGTGTTTGTACTGTGGTTTGCCTTTATGATTGTCTGAATAAATAAATAAATTATCATATGGCAGTGTGTGTAGTATAGCCAGGAGATCCTAGGATTTCCTGGCAGCCAGAAGTTCTAGCTCTTAGCATTATGCACCACTAGGTGGTGAGCTGGACTTTTTTTTTAGGCAAGAGTCATTTCAGAGGTGGTTTGCCAATGCCTGTCTCTGTGTCACGACCCTGGCATTCCTTGGAGGTCTCCCATCCAAATACCAGCCAAGGCCAACCCTTCTTAGATTCTGAGATCTGACGAGATTGGGCAAGGCTGGACTATCCATGTCAGGGCATGGTCTGAATATGCAGAAGGAATTAATCTGGATTTGTCGGTTCCTTGCAATTGTGCTTGTACCCAGATGGTGCCTTGGGCAAAAGTGAAGGATGGAGTTTCCTAAGTATTCCCATCCAACCTACTGATTTCAACCTACGTCAAAGGGTTGCAGTGAGGATAAGATGGAGAAAGGGAATGCATACTTTGTGGCCTCCCAAGCTAAGTGCAGCTCACCAGCAATGCTCCCTCTAAGCTATGGAGTCCTGTGAGCAAGAATTCTACTTTGTGAGCTACTGGCATGAAAGTGGTGAGTAGGTGATTTGGCCACTGCATAAATTAGTTTGCTCTGGAGCCCCATCCTTCCTGAGCGAAGACAACAATGTGTGAGCCGGAGGCTAAAGAACTGTGAGCTAGCTCACACTAACTCAGCTTGGAGGGAACACTGCTCACCAGCCACGTACCCGACTGCTCCGTTTTGTTGCCTTGGACAGGCTGGTTAAAAATGGAGGCTGCTTAACAGGCTTCTTAAGCCATCATGCAAGTTTGGGGGTTGTGTTCAGGTTGGTGACCAGCTTTTATTCGGGCTAGGCTACTTCGGTAGCTGAATACAGATCTCTGAATAAATACCCCCAAAATACAGATAACGTATTTTTCGGGTATTTATTTGGCTCCGTACGTACCGAGTGTACACCCGTAATCTTGATACTAGGAAAGAAGTTTAAACCTGACCTGGCAACACTTTCTTAAATAAGCCACATTTTATGCACAACAGTTTTAAATGGCCTAAGGGATTTCTGTGACTTTTCTGCCACGAGAAAATTGTCCTACAACCTTTAGTATTTACATATTTTTGGGGGGGTTTAAATTGATCCCTGCTTGCCATGTCTATTTTGTTGCAGTAACTGAACTTGGAAAACTGACAGGATGTTCTTTATGAGAGTAGCTAGAAATGCTAGAAGGGAAACTCCCTCCCATTAGGTCAAGAGGGCAGGAAGAAAGCCAAAGGCAGCCCAATTTTATCTGTTTTAGATTTTATCCTTGTAGGTGAGAATTGTTTTTCTGTGACGAGTATGTAGGCTTGTTCCCCTCCCTCCGTAGAAGTAATGAAATGTCAGACTTCTGTAGCAGCTTTCAAGTGTATGAACAGAGGTTTGTTCATCCATATACTAAGACCACCTTATCCCTTCCCACCCATACCCGATGCAGCAGTGATACAGGGTCTTTGAGAAGTGTTTCCTTTTATAATAGTGTGTTAGTAAACTCTGTTTAAAGAAATGGAAAAGAAACAAACAGAAATGGTCACAGCAGCATTACTTACGGAACCAGCTCACATACAGGATTAAAAACAACAGAGGCGGGCACTATTTGGAAAAGGCGGCTGGCACAGTAGTGTGAGTGACTGAAAATGGTGCCCTACCTAACCTGACAAAATGACAACCTCCTGAGGAGGGAGCTCTTGCATTCTCTTGGTTTCTGCAGGGCTTTGTCATGGTAGGAGAAAATGGAACAGGCTCTCTGTCTCCAGGGTCAAGATCTGCCTGATTTGTTTTCCTACCACTACAGAGCTTGTGGATTGATCAGGTGTGCTGTCTGTTTGGCTTCACCTTGGACAGTGTTGGCATGTTCCATTTTCTACCTGCGTGTGAACTCTGCATCTGTAGAACAGTTTTTATAGTCCTGCTCTCAGCTTTGCTTCCTTCTCCCAGCTTCAGGAATATCCATGAATAACAGTATGATGATGTGTGCCTGGTTAGGGATTCATCTTGCCTTTTCCTCCTCATCTGGAATGGGAGAAATTGAGAGGTGCTCAAAGTAACTTCAAATAGGTGTTTTTTAAAAAGATTTAAATCCTCCATCTTATTTATTATGTGTAGCAGTGTTCCATTTAAAGTCCTTTCAGGTTGTGTGATTGTTTCCACCCCTTCTTAGTTTATTCCCCAGATATGCCTTCCCGGCTTCCAATCCAAGATATATTTGCTGGACTGGTTACAAGTATTGGCACGGCAATACGATACTGGTTTCACTATACGCTTGTGGCCTTTGCATGGTTGGGGGTTGTACCCCTTACAGCATGTAAGTACAACATTTTATTTTGATATGGTTTATAATGCAAGGGCCGTAAGGATCATATTTGGCTGCCCTTGATGATAGCGGTGATCAGCACGGCAAGATCACTTGCTGCAGAAGAAGCAGCTTGTCCTGTCTGGGATACGACAAACATCATTGCTACTGGCCTCACCTCGACTCGTAAAGCTGACTACAGGGGTGGCCATGGAGGCCCTCATGCTTGCTTTTCTTTTGGTTTAGTGATTGTGCAGTTGTAGTTATTGGCACAGAGGAGAAGGTGCGTTGGCTGTTAGAAGGGGGTAGCAGTGTCTGATTGGGGGCTGTGCCTTAAAAATGGCAAGGATGGATTTCTTGAACACACGTATAGAATCTTGTTGACTGCAATAAAACATCAGATAATAAAAAGTTAGTGATGGTTAAGTGGCTTCAATGCTACTTCTCACAGCTTCTGGGAGGATCCTATAGCGCAGGGGTGTCGAACTCATTTGTTATGAGGACCAGATTTGACATAAATTGGACTTTGTCAGGCCGGGCCATGTGTGTCATAAAATGTAAAGCCCCAGGTAGCAGAGATATAAGCTTAATAAAGGACAGAGACAAACACGATTAAAGATATTATAGCAGCTGTTCCATTGGAGCCCCACATTAGGAGGGTATGTGTGGTAAAACTAATATTTCTCTGAAAACTGAAGTTCCCAGAGTTTGTTGAATTCTGTGTTTTAACTGTGGTTAGTCCCAAACCTGCCCCCCCCCCCCAATATAAGCTACAGATACAGATGTTCTGAGCCTAGGACCCAGGGGAAGAACGTGAAATGGTTGAGCATTGCAAGCTCCCCCCCCCCCCACCCCCAATGTTTACTCAGAGTGACAGTGGCTCTCCAGGGTCTCAGGGTCTTTTTTACAGGGTGGTTTGAGATAATAATTTTGGGAGTCCTCTTCAGCACTTGTTCTGCTATTATTCCACATTAGGAGGGTGTGTGTGTTAAAACTAATATTTCTCTGCAAAACTGGAGCCCCTTGAGTTTGCAGAACTCTATATTTTAACCCCAGCTGGTCCCAAACCTTCCCCCCCCCACACACACACACCCTTAAAACGTGCCTGCCTAAATTGGAAAGATGAGGAAATAATGGGATTTTGCAAAGCAATTTTTTAAAATAAAAAAGAAGCACAAGGATCATATCAGAAGGAATGCTCCCCCCCCCCGCTCCTACCTGTGAGGAGGACTGTGGTGGCTGGGAGCGGTGGCTGGGGAGTTTGACAGCCCCACCTTGTGCCTTCTGCTCTCAGAGGCAGCCCCGCCCGTGGCTCTTTATACTCTGAGGCAGCTGAAGCTCAGGGGAGGGGGGAGAGAAGAGAGCCCCACTCCCGGGGTGGATTAAAGGCCTGGGCGGGCCGGTTCTGGCCCATGGCCCATAGGTTTGACACCCCTGCTGTAGCATATGCTGCCTGATAGTTTGCCTATACTTCCGTGTTAGTTGCTCAAGAAGTATTTGGGTCGGTTTTGTTGTCTTTTATTGAGTGCTAGTAAAAAGTGGTTTAGGTAATATGATTGAGTGTGGAATAGATAAGGCGATTATTTATTTAAGATTTAAATGCCGTCTCTTTTAAGGGAGAGATATGATTAACTGATGAGGGTTGGAAATTCTGATATTTAATGATTCTTCAGATGTCATGAACAGATTTATCGTAACAACCCAAAACCTGGTTCACTCTCTGCACGTGCCTGCTCCCTCCCTCCCTCCCTCCTTGTTCCGTCCTCTGTGGCCCAGGTGGACATTGGCATCTGCTTGGTGTGCAGAGAGTAATTTGTAGGGATGTCCACATGTGGGCACTTAGATACTTTCTCCACAAACTGGGATTCTGTACCAGGAAGAATCCAGGTTTGTGGAGAAGGAGTCATTTCTAATATTTCCAGGTTCTTGCACTTGGACATCTTAACAAGTTGGAGTTAGGCTGAAGACATCTGAAACCAGGAAGTTTTCAGTCATGCGCTACATATAAGAAGAGGAAGGAAGGAAGGAAAGAACACAACCCAGCATAACATAAGAGAACATAAGAGAAGCCAGTGTTGGATCAGGCCCACGGCCCATCCAGTCCAACACTCTGTCACACAGTGGCCAAAAATACCAGGTGCCATCAGCAGGTCCACCAGTGGGGCCAGGACACTAGAAGCCCTCCCACTGCTGCCCCCCTCCAAGCACCAAGAAGACAGAGCATCCCTTGCCCCAGACCGAGAGTTCCTATCTATACCTTGTGGCTAATAGCCACTGATGGATTTCTGTTCCATATGCTTATCTGATTCCCTCTTAACATACCATGTTAATTCCCAACCTAAATGAATTTAATCTTAAACAGGCAATCCAACACTCAAAATTTACCACCACCACCACCACCCCCCGCAAGTCTGGAGATAAAAATGTCTTCACCTAAATGCAAACAGATTAGGAGTTGGGGAGTGTTAGACAGATGAAATGCCACTGCTGAAAAACCTCTGGCTTAGAAGGGAAGAGGCCCTGACCAGGCTTTTCAATAACGTTGAGCTTAACTAGCAGGGAAGTCAGTAGAGAAGTAGGTGGTCCTTTCTGGTCTGGAAAGCTCCAGTGCTCAGAACCCCTTCAGGACAGCTGGGGAAACAGAGTGGCCCAGAATGAAATGCTACCCAGGCATGGGGGTCATGCTGCTGGAGTAAACAGCCTCTCCCCCCCCCACCCCCCGCTCTTCAGGATTCCTCTCCTCCCTCACCACATCCACACGCACCTTCATGGATGATAATGCCGAAAATGGACCTCTGGACACTACTAGATTCTCTTTCAGAACGCAGGTTTTATTTTCCTTTCTTTCTTTGCTCTTTAGGCCGTATCTACAAGTGCTTGTTTACTGGCTCTGTGAGCTCACTACTGACTCTGCCATTAGATATGCTGTCTACGTAAGTATTGGCTTCCTTTTGGAATATGTCTGTGCTATGCTGCTGAAATCTAATGGGTTGCTGCTGCACTTTCTCATAAACTCAGTAACCAAAACTAATTATGCCCCCAGATTATGTCCTTCATTGAGTAACAAGAAAAGTGGCGACTGCATGTATACATGAAACATGGCAGTTTTTTGACTAAGCAAAAAGGATTACCATGGACTGATTTCAGCAGAACTTACTTAAAATTATGTCTGCTTTTTGATATGTATGTAAAATAGTATCTGTTTCTTTTTTAAAAAACTGAGCCAAAGCATGTAGGACCTCAGCTCCAGTTTCCTTAGAGGCGGCCGTCAGTTCCTTGAGAAGGTTACCCTGCTCTTTGCCAAGAATCCCGTCTACTTCTGCCCTTGATAAAAGCACCTTATTACTTTGATATTGATCAAACCAGTGTATTGATCTAATTCAAATTGCATTTTACTTATTCATTGTCAGCTTCTTTGAGGGGCTATGTCAGGAAAGTGGCCTGTTTGTTTTGAACAAAACAGAATAGATTGAAGTCAAATGAAATCATTAAAACTGAAGTTACTTTTTAAAAATTACACCAATGCAGCACTCCAATTTAAGTGAAATGTTATTGATGATTGTTTATAGTGCACTTCAATATACACGGATAGTATTTGGAATCCATAATTACCAAAGTGCAGGGGACAAGAGGAGTAGTTTTAAAAAAGCACCCGGGGAGAGAGGAATGAGAGAGAGAATAAAACCAGCACTGTTGGTGGCAACGATCACAGAAGCAAGAGTATTCTGACCTGTTCAGTCCGTCAGTCAGTCAGGAGCCCTGCTGCGGAGGAGCCCCGCCCAGTGTCTGAAAACCCTTCGCGAGCGGCTGTGGTGCCTGGGGCCACCCCGTTGGGAACCCCTGCCCTGACTCGTGCACTTCTTTGTTTCAGTTGAAACCTTCAGGTGGTGCAAATAACAAGAACAGTCAATATTTTCTCTTCTTTGTTGGAACTGATCTGCAACATAATAAATTGCCAGATCAGATTCATTACACTGACAAATGAGGGAAATGTGAGTATGATTGGGAGGGGCTGTGGCTCAGTGGGAGAGCCTCTGCTTGGCCTGCAGAAGGTCCCGGGTTCGTTCCCTGGCGGCATCTCCAGTTAAAGGATCAGGGAGTCGGCGATGTGCAAGACCTCGGCCTGAGACGCTGGAGCGCCACGGCCAGTCTGAGTAGACAGCACTGACTTTGATGGGCAGAAGAGGGTCTGGTTCAGGATAAGGCAGCTTCAGTTATTTTGTATAGAAGTGGCAAGAAGCTCAAGAGGCAGCAGATCAGAACAGTTGAATTTTAAATAGCTGGAGGCTTCGGCACTATGATCCGGCGTAACTTGTGTCTCTGTTCACAATCTTGTTATCCTTGTAGGCCTTACTTAAGTGAGGGAGGCTGTGGAATGCCTGGGGCTGCGGGAGAAGGATACACTTGCAGTAACATCTGTAAATAATGTGTTGGCTGTCTCTTCCACAGAGAGAATTTACTGGCAGACTGTTTGCAAGGTTGTTTTGTGGTGACGTGCACACTCTGCGCATTTATCAGCCTGGTATGGTTACGTGAACAAATTGTCCACGGAGGAGCACCGCAGTGGCTGGAGCAGAACCAGCAGCAGGCCATCCATGGCGCTGGGCAGCAGAATGAGGTAACGCACCCTTCGCCTTATCAGCTCCAACTTTCACTGTGAGTTTTTCTTTGAATACGGTCCATCACTCTCCCCCCCCCCCCCCCCCAAAGATCTGGAACTGTTTGTAAAATCAGTTAGATTAGTCTGATGTGCAAAACATTGTTCTGGCAATAGCCCCATGGATACAACTTGGACTGGATCCAGGAGTTTGCTGTGAATATCAGTTCTACATCTGCGTGGTTCTGTACCATTATCAATTTAGCGGTGCCATCCCAAGCAGAGTTGCACCCTCTTAAGCCCATGGACTTCAGTGGATGTGGAAGGGTGTCAGTCTCTTAAGTATCTTCTGCAGTTCTGCATCTGTTGATTTCAGTGGCTTAGTCTGGAGTAACTGCAGAGGGTTACACTTTTAGGATCTCGTGGGCTTTGTGAAGTTGATATATCAGCTGTGGTACTGCAGCATTTACTCAGGTGTTGTCTGGATGAACTCTTGTAAGACTACAATTTTCTACATGAAATAATGTACCTTGAGAAGCTGGTATTACAACTTGCATGTACCTCGTAGCTCTGTGGTGCTGTCTCCTTGGCTGGTGCTGTCCAGGGCTTTCCATGCAGTAGGGATGAGAGGAATCACACGTGCCTTTCAGGGTTTTCTGTTTAATAGTCAGTTAAGGTTTGAGACCTCTGTGGGTAGCAGCCTATTAAAACGATCCATGGCCCCTGCCACACGGGCAGGAAACTGCAGAGGAGAAGTGTGGCTGTTTGCCCCGGGGCAAACTAACATGCAGTAAAGCGATCAGACCTACTGTGGAGGTTCTGTGGAGGTACTGTGGAGGTTCCATGGCAAGGGAGAGGTGCCGATCACAACACACGCCTGCGCGCAATGAAGAAGCGCGCGGCGCGGCGAACTGGTTTTCTTTTTTTGTGTACACTACGAATGCGCATGCTCCGTTGGGTGCGTGTGCGCATCCACGGAGACGTGGGGGGAAAAAAACCCTTTTCCGCAAGGGGACATGGGCGGGCGCCGGATACCACCGGAAACGCGATCAGACGCCCGCCCTTGCCCCGCAGTTTCTGGAAACTAGTACCTCCAAGGTACTAGTTTTTTGCTGCACTTTTTCTGCAGGAAGCCTCAGTTGTGCCACGGAAGCGCTACGCTTCCCAGATGTGCTGGTGAGATTGCGACCGGAAACTCCGCTTGTCTTCTGTATCTCTTGCGTGGCTAATGTTGCGTGTGACCGCAGCCCATGTTATTTTAAAGACAATGGGTCGGGTGAATTGGCAGTTTCCACTGACTCCCCATTGCAGACCCCCCCCATCTCGTCACTCAGGGTCCTCTTTGTCACTCGGGAGTGTGGCATTTTGTGGTGATCAGTGTGGGTTGCAGTGAGGTGAGGGAGGCAAGAAAGTTCTGTCACTGGAAAACGTGAGTCTGGGTCCAACCAAATGTTTTTATTTTGTTTTGATTTCAGGAATCACATTGAAATCTATTCTCCCTGCTGCATTCTTCTTCCTGATTGTGACTCAGAATAACTTCTCTTTGGGGCTTGCTTTGCCCGGCCTTCACCAGATTGAATGGACAGGCATCTTGTACCTGTCTGGGTTAGGATTACTAACTGCTTGTAGAAAAGAAATGCTCTGTCCTTTTGACAGAAGCTTCATGGGATGGTACTTACCTGCGGTTATTTACCTCCATGCCTTGAAAATTTTCAGCTGCCTATTTCCCCACATTAAGGGAAAGAACATTTTTCTCCAGGCCTGCTGGCGACCCTGGACCAACTACTTCCCTTCTTCAGTTTTTGGTTAGCATATCATTCCCCAGGGAAGTCACTTGTTCCTTCTCAGAGGGATGTTGTGACAACTGTGCTTTCTTCACTTAGTCTGATACTTGAATCGATTAGTTGACCTAATTTAGAGTCCAATCAGGCACCTGTAAGACCAAGAAAGTTTTATTCAAGGTAGGAGCTCTCGTGTGCACGCCCACTTCTTCAGATACACTGGAGTGGAAGCTAACCGTTCAGATCTATAGGTAGATGCCTCTACAGAGGTGAACAGTAAATTAGCACACAACTTAATGGAGATGTTTTGACATATGCAAAGACTAAACAGCAATAAGAAATTAAGTTCATACGGTCACCATTTCTTTGGATTTAAGTGTGTGTGGGGGAAACAGTAAGGAATAAAGATATCAACAAAGAAGGATGTGTAAAAGTATCCTTCTTAATTGTCAAGGGTAATAAACTGATTCTATCGTTATACACCATTTGTTTCCTTGCAAGTGTGGAGTTAATTAATTAAATTCAAACAAATGGTGACCATATGAATTTAGCTTGTTATTGCTGTTTAGTCTTTGTATATATGAGAACATATTTGTCTTCATTAAGTTGTGTGTTAATTTACTGTTCACCTCTGTAGAGGCATCTGCCTGTAGATCTGAACGGTTAGCTTCCACTCCAGTGTACCTGAAGAAGTGGGCGTGCACACGAGAGCTCACGAGCCTTGAATAAACCCCTCTTGGTCTTACAGGTGCCTGACTGGACTCAAAATTTCTTCTACTGCTTCAGACCAACATGGCTGCCCACCTGGATCTATCTACTTGACCTAAGGTAGTGTGAGTTTATGTATGCCTGTCAGTCCAGGCAGCTGATGCTAAATAAGATTTATTCCTGAAGAGCAGCAAGTATTTCAAAGCCCAAGATCCTCTGAGAAGAATCTTCCTTTTGGGGCAATGTCTTTGGATGATGTCCAAGAAAGGTCTTGGGTTAGATTCTCTTATAGGTTCTCTAGTGTGGTTTGTGATCCCAGTGTTAACTACATCGGGCAGAGTGAGACATGATTCTTCTGGATATTGGATTGCTCTGTATGGCAGTGCAACAATATCAGGCAATCTCTGTTTTAGCAAATGCTTGACAAAAGCTTCATACACACAAAGCTATCATCTTAAAGAGTTGCAGGTAGTACACTACTCCCACGAATGAAGTTTCTTTCCTGACATCCAAGAGACTGTCTTAATAGGTCTTCACATTGCTACAGATGGATGTTTAAAAATTTGTATAGGTTTGGATCCTTAAAAAAATGTAAAATGAAGCCAGTTCATGAAAAGTTAAAAAAAAAATCAAATCCCACTGCCCCTCACCCCCAGTTCTTTCACAAGGATGGGGGACACTTGGGAATAATGTGAGATGGAGAGGCTGCTGCCCGAAAGGAAAACTGGCAGGAACTCATCCCCCTTGTATTGGCATGCAATAGGGAAGGGATAGTTCCCCCTTCTGGCTGTACCCCCCCTGATGTCCTTAAGGGTCCAGAAATTCGTTGGGGGGGGTAATCCTCCATTTATAGTTCCTTAGGAATCCAACCCACTGATGACTTTTCATACTGCAGGCATATGAATAGCATAGGAGAACCCTGAATTCATCTGACGTTGCTTTGACTTTTCTCTGTGCAGGTTCAGGGTGCAGGAAATGGGGGAGCTGAAAATGCTGCCCTGGACCAGCCCGTGGACCAGCCTGCTGAGAATGCGGTTGTTGGTGAGAACCCAGAAATCCAAGAAGAGCAGCCGGATGAAGAAGAGGAAGACAATGAAGACGAAGAAGACGTAGTAGTAGAGGATGCAGCAGACGCAAACAATGGAGCACAAGGTATGTTTGCTTGTTCGCAGCAATATTTGTACCACTTTCTAGAGCTGTACTTGGGTACCTGCTAAAGACATACTGGTTGACCCAGGCTGTCTGATGAACATATTTTAATATGTGATTTTGATTTGTAGTTATTGTGTGTTTAATTGTCTGTAAGCTTCCTTGAGTGCCTGCTTCCTAAGCATTCTTAGACACTGATTTTTACACTTAGAGGAACCAAAAGCTTTATCCCCCCCCTTTAGCTCAAGTCTATTTAAAAGCAGTGCATTGTGTTAAGAAGGGTTTTGTGTGAACAAATAGACTGTGGCTTTTCATGTGAGCTGTTTGAATTTAGCCCGCAGGCCAGGTAGCCAATACCTCTCTCTGTAACCACAGCCACCCCATGTCCGCCCCCCCCCCCGACATGTCCAGGTAGCCAATACCCCTCTCTGTAACCACAGCCACCCCGTGTCCGCCCCCCCCCCCGCTAGAACACCTGTGGGGCTCAAAATGGTCACGAGAAGCCTGACTGATGATGTGAATTATGTTGTCCTGGTCAAGTTCTTCTTTTGCAGTCTTAAAATGATATAATTGTCTGTTTAGATGACATGAACTGGAATGCCTTGGAGTGGGACCGAGCCGCAGAAGAGCTTACCTGGGAGAGAGTAAGACATGCGTACTTCAGAAACTCTTTGTCGTGCAGAGTTGGGGTGCCCTAAATAATGACCATCTGTTTTAAGAACCGGTTGGTGGGGATGTGTCATACTGAAGACTTCAGTCTGCCCCCCCCCGTGCCTGCCTCTTCCACTTCACTTCAGGCCACACTGTGTATCGCACTCTTAAGGGGGCAGCCCAGTGGCTCTTTTTTTAACAGCAATAGCTCGCAAAAGCCTCACAGCCAATATCCAATTCCCTACTGTTTTGTCTGCCCGGTGGCAGAGCTGTCAAAGACCGAATCGTTCTAAACAATTGGGCTGGGCGTGAGCTCGCAGACGCAATCGCACCTGCATAGAATCCCTTCTTAGCAGCCTTGACTGCCCTCTCATAGGCTCTCATAAACGTCCTATAAGATGCTCTTAATGCTTTGTCGCGGGCACGGCACCACCATCTCTCTAGCCGTCTCAGCTCCCGTTTCATAAGCCACAACCCCTGGGTATACCAGGGGGCAAGCCTAGGGCGAGCGCGCAGAGGGCACCGGGGAGCGATCTCATCAATGGCTGTGGAGAGTCGGTCATGCCAGTCCTCCACAAGCTCATCCAGTGAGCCGCCAGGGGGCATTGGATCCCGCAGAGCCATCTGAAACTGTACAGGGTCCATTTGGCTTCACGGGCGAGCTAAAATCCGCTTGCCGCCTAAACAGGGTCGGGGTGGAACATTCAGACGAGCCTTCAGGGCATAGTGGTCCGACCATGGAACTGCTGTAGCAGTAATCCGGTCCACTGTAATCCCTGCCACGAAGATCAAATCGAGCGTGTGCCCAGCCTGGTGCGTGGGGGTTGCTACAAGCTGGGAGAGTCCCAGTGCCACCATGGCCAAAACCAGGTCCGCAGCCCGATTGGAAGCCGCATCATTGGCATGGACGTTGAAGTCACCCAAGACCAAAAGCCTAGGGTGCTCCAACGCCCAGCCTGATATGGCCTCCATCAGGGACGGCAGGCTACTGGCCGGTGCGTTAGGTAGTCGGTACACCAGCCAGATTGCCAAACTCTCTTCAGTCCCCAACTTCAGGCCGACACACTCTATGCCCGTGATCTCCAGCGGGGAGAGGGCCCTGAAGCCTCCCGTATGAACATCGCCACTCCTCCCCCCCCCCGCCCCTGCGGTCCGCAATTGGTGTAGGACCACAAACCCAGGTGGGGCAAGTTGGGTAAGAGATACAGTCTCCCCATCCCGCACCCAGGTCTCGGTCACGTACGCTAGGTCTACCTATTGTTCTGTGACAAAGTCCCGAAGGACTGAGGTCTTATTACTGATAGACCTGGTGTTGCACAGCACCAATGATGGAGGGGGGTTCCCAATCCTAGCCTCACTGCTGACATCCTTCAGGATGGGTTGTAGGCTGGAAGGGCATCGAGCCGTTCTTTTTCTCAGTGCTCTTCCTTTAACCTTCTGCCTAGACCCACTGCTAAACTTTCCCCTCCCCACGAGCACTGGAATCTGCTGTTCAGCTATTGCCACATCAACCGGTCTTCATGGTGGCATCAGACCCCTGGTGGCCAACTAATCAGGCCAATTCCTCCTCTCAGGGCCGAACGAAGTATCAGCTCCTGGTGCCACGATACCCGGTTGTCTAACAACGCTGATGGTCATACCAGCGTGTGCCACAGGGGAACGTTCACCGTCAATATCCCTGACCTGAATACAGAAATTCCCAACTTAAGTACAAATTTTGACGCAATCTCCAACTACATTCTCCCTACCAGTTTGATTGGACGCCCTCCTAGTAGATCCAGTAGCCTTTGAAGCCTATCTATATACTTACTTTTGTTATATCTTCTTTGTTCCCCCCCCCACCCTCTCTCACCCCCCTCAGCTCACCAATAGTTACTATGACTAATGGCTGGTCTGGTCTATGGCACCGGATAACCTCCTATTAATTAATTTGGAAACTTGACTAGCAAACTAATTAATTAAACAAGCATCATTATAGGGCTACCAAAATTCATTTGTCAAATTAATCAAATACTCAACAAGTTAATCACTAATCAATTGGGGAGTAACAATAAAAATCAATACAATAGACCAGCGCACTCAGTGCACAATCAATTATTCATCCCCTCCCTCGGCCCCAGTAATTACGTAAGTTAACCTGTCCCCTCTTTAATTCAGCACCTGTGTCAGTTGCCTCTGTTGCCAGCAGGCGGCAATCTAAGCCTCTAGATCTAGTCCAGTGATCTTCCTTAAGTCGGATAGTTTGATCTATAGGTCTCCGAGGCCTTTGTCCCTTGAACCTGCTCTCTGCCAGCATTGCCAGCCTCTGTCCACTTCTCCGCAACTCTATCAACTCGCCGTTCAGAGGCCCGTAGGGTTGTCTGTCGGCCGCACCCCTGCCGTTTCTACTGCTGCAACCCTCGTAGACAGACCAGAGAAACAGGAAGCTGCAGGGGCCGTGGTCTCGGCCGCTGCTTCCTCAGCTCAGGCCCGGGAGAAGGCAAAAACCGTCTCTCAATTCCCCGGCTCCAGCCCTGCCAGCCGGCGCGTTCCCGCGACCTCACTCAAAACTGTCGCCGCAGCTGCGACCGTAGTCGCAATCGTAGTTGTAGTCGGGCCCCATCGAAATGGCGGCTGCACAGCCGACCAAGACAAGCAGGGTCCAAAGCACCCCGCAGCGTGCTCCTGCGCTGTTGAGGGAGTTTTCATGCTGCGCCGCGGCTTCTCCGCGTGGCGTCGTTGGAGTCAGGCCACACCAAACAAAGGGAGGTAGGCGTTCGTTCTCACGCTGCGCCACGGCTTCTCTGCATGGCGTCGTTGAAGACAGGCTGCGCCGAACGAAAGGAGGTAAGCGTTCATTTGAGGAAAAACAGCGCTGAATTGTCTCAAGGCATGATAAGGTCTACGGTCCACTCTCCCCACTGGCATAGTTGATAGTATATGGCGTGCTCCAGGTGGTTTTTTGACCGGCTAGGTTAGCTGGTATTTGCAAAAAACGGTTTAGTCACGGAGGCTCCCTGCCGACCGCCATGGGGGCATTATCCACCCCCACCAGATGCATACCTGGTGAGATGGGTTGCTGTTCTTATACTTGCATACTTCCTCTTCTCGTTACCTCCCCACGCAGTGAAGATAATGGCTGGACCTGAACATCCTGTGGTGGCTGAATTTTCGTACCCCTAAATGTTGCTCCTGCCTTCAGTTGTAGCCATAGTAACCTTTGATGATGCTATTTTGGAAGTGAGATTAAGGATGTCTGCCGGGGCCAGATAGCTTTGAGGAGTAAAAATTTTCAAAAAGGGGAAAAATGCAATTTGAGAGATTACTATTTTTAAGTTCATTGTTTATTTTGCTACAAGATCAGTACTAATAAGGGTAAGGAAAAAATAAAAAATATAGAATAAAATATAATATTGAGCAGTGATTGTGAGGGGATGGAGACAGGGAGACTTAGTAAGCGGCTCGTGTATCCCATGTGCCCGAAGGCAAAATTGAGCTACTTTATTTGCTGGGAGGAATCTGCAAGAAGGAGGGAGATGTAAAGTTGTTCAGCTCTTCTTGGTAGAGTTGATAGGACTGGGGCTGTGTACCGAGATCGAAGGTCATTGTAGAAGGGACCGTGCAGCAGAACAGGGTCGATGGAGATCACCATTTGTTTTTCCAAAGTAAAACTCATTTGTCTTGGTTAACCAAGCAACTGTGTTCCTGGCTGATTATAATTGTCTAAAGTACATGACACTCTTATAACATTGAGGAAAAATCAGCTCAAAGGTTACGTGGATTACTGGGGAAAACACATTACTTTTGTGAGTGGGTAACCCCATCATTTGAACTATGTAGTCATGAAAATTTTTGTTGGATATCTGTAAACCATGTTCTTGACTCTCAGCAAACAGATTATTTGTCCCCTTCTTCTATCCCCCCATCAATTTTGTTCATTTACTCCTGAATATATCACTTTCTGCATTTACTATTTAATGTTCTATTTGCTGTAATATAGTAATGCAAGAGAAAACATTCAAGTAATGGAGTCCTTGCATGTAAAACTTCTGAAACCTGGGCCCCTCTTCTATACTTTCTCTACCATCGGGGATGTCCCAGGTCACTTGCCAACTGTTTGTTAGGTAGGAATGTGGAGAATTTCCTATGCAGCAGCATACATCTGGCTGGTGGATAGTAGAGATAACAAGTAGAAACTTATGATACTCGTGGGAGGATCCCAGTTTGGTGTCGTGGTTAAGTGTGCGGACTCTAATCTGGGAGAACCGGGTTTTATTCCCCACTCCTCCACTCGCACCTGGCTGGATGACCTTGGGCGAGCCGTAGCTCTGACAAGAGCTGTTCTTGATAAAGGGCAGTTTCTGTCAAGAGCTCTCTCATCCCCACCTACTTCACAGGGTGTCTGTTGTGGAGAGGGGAAGGGAAAGGAGTTTGTAAGCCGCTCTGAGACACCTTTGGGTAGTGAAGGGCCATGGGGTATAAATCCAATCTCCTCCTCCTCCTCCTCCTCCTCCTCCTCCTCCTCCTCCAGTCACTGCCAGCTAAGAGAGGGAAGGGGTCCCCCCCAGTGAGTACTGTGGCTCCTCGCCACTGTTGCAGCCACTGCCACCAGGCCACTGTGGTCCCCCCCCCCGGCCCCCGTGGCCCCCCCCCCCCCCGATTGATGCTGAAGAGCCCAGTGTTGGTCTCGGCCTCTGATGCCGGGCTCCTGCCATCTTCCGAAGCGGGGAGGGCGGTCGCCCTCAAGGCTTCTGCTGCCAGGCCCCCACATTCCCACCTTCCCCTCTGCCATCGATCCTGGAGAGCCCAGTGTGGCCAGGCTTCTGCTGCTGGGCCTGTGGGGCTCGTTGGGGGGAGTTCCACAGCCCCCCCCACTTTCTTGCCAATGCAGCCCCCAGGCTCTTCTGCAGCAGCTGCTCCTGGGCCCAGTGCTGCTCCTGGCCTCTCCTGCTGCTGCCTCCAGGCCCGTGGCTGCCCCTAGGCCGCTTTGCGGCCGCCTCCAGGCCCAGTGTGGCCACCAGGCTGCTTCGTTGCCCCCCTTGGCCACCACCTTTCTGGCAGCTGCCTCCAGGCCCGGTGCGCCCCCCCGCCCTGCTCTGCCGGCCTGCCACAGCCCCTGGGATGCTTCGCTGCGGCGGCTGCAGGAGACGGGTAGTAAAGAGCCTCCTCTGCACTTGCACAGAGAAGACTGTTTTACTTCGGGGGCGTTTAAACCCCCTCCCGTGTATTTTTTTAAACTTTTCAGATTTTTCTGCAAACCTAGGTGGTCACCCAAGTTGGCAGAAAAACCTGTTTAGCGACCACGTGGCCCCGGTCATTGGATTTAGATATCCGCAGATGGGGGCACACATTGCTGTCATTAGACGAAAGCTGGACCGAAGGGCAGGTTCTCCTAGCTGCTGCCAGCTGCAGAGTTCTTTTTCAAGGTTGTGGGAGGGGGGGGGGAGCACCCTGGCTGCTGCTGCTGCTGCTGAGTAGTGGTGGTTCCTCCCGGAGTCCCCGTCCTCCTCACAACTCTCTTGTAAGTTCTTGCGACTCCTTTTTTTTGGGGGGGGACGGGGGGGTTAACCTGCAATTTGAAAACTTAAGTTTCGGAGGGGAGCCATGTTGGTCTGCAGTAGAACAGGGCGGTTTTTGCCCCGCAGTTGGGCCTCAGAGACCAACAAGACGTTTAGGGCATAAACCTTGGAGAACGTGTGGCTCGTCTCGGCTGCATGGGACAAATGCGAAATCTTAGAGAGTGACACAGCTAGCAGTGAAATTGCTGAATGAGTGAACAATCGATGGAAGGGTTCATAAGATGAAACATCTGCTCGAACATGATCCAGCCCTTATATTTAGTCCCCATGCAGTGATTTCTGGCTGTTTTGCATCAGCCAGCTGCTAACCACCTTGATCTGCAACTGCATCACTCACCTCCCTCCGTTAATGAATGCCTGCTGCTTCATTAATAGTACAGCACTGGTATGGCATTGTGTGAATCTGCAGCTTTTTGGTCTAGACATTTCTCTGAGAGTTGTGATCAGGCTTCTTTCGCAACAAGAAAGTAACGTGTGTTCCTATGAGAGGAAGAATACAGGTGTGGGTGGGTGGGGGTGAGGATTAGCGCCTTCTGTCTGGGGAGAATGTTGATGCTTCTGGGGGACGCAGAAAAGTGCATTCACTGACCCAAACCCCCCTCTTTTTCTAGATGCTTGGGCTTGATGGATCCCTGGTTTTTTTAGTAAGTGAGCTTTTATTTTATTTCCTGTTAGCTGTAAGAGGATTATATCTGAGAGCAATTCTCTCTGTGTCTTGGTCTAGGCAATAGAATCCAAGTATATATGTTAAAATGCCCAGTTTTTAATTATATATAAGCATCAAGAGGTCTTGATGGGAACTAAGAAAGAATTTCAGGGAAGAGAGAGAGATGACGGTGCTCAAACTGACTCCTGTTCCCCTTTTCCCCACCAGGAACATGTCTTCTGGGTGGTCTCACTAAACACGCTATTCATACTTGTTTTTGGTAAGTGATTGTATTTGCAGGTAACGGGTGAGGGAGGGGGCCCAAATTAAAATGGTGGTCGAGTAGTTTTCTCTTGACAAGATGACGTATTTTTTAAAGTAATAAGTCGTTTAGACAATAAACAGCAATATTAAATCTATACAATAAAACCAATTTAAAACATTTAAAATGGGCAGTGTAACATATTCAATTTCAGTTCTTGCAGCCAGGAAATAAGTGGGCCAGCACCGAGCCATGGTGGTCTCATACAGCAGCAGCAGCAGCAATAATAATAATAATATGCCAGTCCCATGATCCTCAGCCTCCCGTTTTTGGTAGTCCTCTCTTTTTCACCAGTGGAAACACTGATTGGATCCAACTCGGTGGTTGTCTTGCCCATTGCGAAAAGAGAAAGGGGCCCTCATAGCAGTAAGACTTAGTGTCTCTTACAGAAAGAGAGCCAGTTTCTTGAATAGTCTTGTGACTCTGCCTTTTCTCAGCACGTGAGCATACTTCCCTGCAGCAGTGTCACCCCTTTCCTCAATGTATGTTTTGGCAGAGCATGCTGTTGTCTCTGAATTAAGTATAGGGGTTGACCACAGGATTGAGGGAGGGCCACTCTTTGAGATCTCTCACAGAATCCATGTCTATTGTGATGGCTATTTAGTTATTAAATCACATTCACAGGAGAGAAGCAGTTCTAAGTAACATCATTGTGGATCTAAGCCAATTTTAACAGGACTGAAGTACAAGAATAACATTTCTTCTTCTCAAAGGCCTTCTGAAGTAAAAGTTTTTTGTTGACTTCAGAAAGCCTGTAACGAGGGGGATAAATGTAGGGCAGGGAATCTAAAGGTGTTTTAATAAATGAACCAAATGTTATGTGCCATGGTGGATCACTAACTGTTGCATTACTACTGCTACTTGCGTAGTAGACTGAACTAGATGAACATAGGCTGCGGTCACATGGAACAGAAGCCACACAAGTGAGACGGAAAACAGGCGGAGTTTCCGGGCGCGATCTCACCAGCACATCTGGGAAGCGTAGCACTCCCGTGGCACAACCGAGGCTTCCAGCCGAAACTGCGTGGCAAAAAACTAGTACCTCGGAGGTACTAGTTTCCGGAAACTGCGGGGCAAGGGCAGGCGTCTGATCGCGTTTCCGGTGGCATCCGGCGCCCGCCCATGTCCCCTTGCAAATAAGGTGTGTTTTTTTGTCCACGTCTCTGTGGATGCGCACACGCACCCAACGGAGCATGCGCATTAGTCATGTACACACAAAAACAAAACATTTTGCCGCGGCGCGCGCTTCTTCATTGCGCGCCGGCTTGTCCTGTGATCAGCACCTCTCCCTTGCCATGGAACCTCCACGGTACCTCCACAGGACCTCCACCGGAGGTCTGATCGAGTAACTGCGCAGTAGTTTGCCCCAGGGCAAACAGCCACGCTTCTCCCTCGCAGTTTCCTGCCCGTGTGACCGGGGTCATAGAAATATTTCTGTCCTTTTGATGGTACTGTCAGTTTTAAGCCATGTTATGGTAGGAAGGGGGAGATGGTGTCTTTCCTTTCTTGGAATTCCCTTAGACCAAGCGTTCCCTTAGACCAAGAACCCTCCTAACCAACCGCCACCACTCAGGGCTTCTTGAGAACATCTAGACTGACCTGCTGAGAAGGTACTGTCCTAGCACAGTGCGAGAGCAATGATGAGGTGGCAGGGTAGAAACCTTAGAAAATACCTTCTAACCAACTGTGTAGTTCCTGTGCAGTCTAGCACACAGGGAGGATTTGGAGAAATATCGCAGGGAAATAAATTGTACTAAGCAAAGCAAAAATAAATCTTTATTAAAAGTTTATTATAAAAGAGAGAGTGGTAGGGTTAAAAAAAAGTAGTGGAAAAAGGGAAAAAACAAAATACAGGGACAAGGCACCCAGTAACAACAGCACAGAGATGTTCAATTTAAAAACAATACAGTTGAACAAAGTAAGCCACACACATGTTACCTAGGCTGTAATAGGTTCCTCGGAGCATCAAAGTTCCTTGCAGTAACAACATGTTGGAGGAGTTCTTCACCCCTGCTCAGCCTCCTGAGCTGAACAGTGAAAATGGAAGACAAGAGGAATATCTCAAAATGTTCAGACACTTATGCTCAATGGAACAGAGAGCCTTAACCAGCCTCCTCTCCTGGGAGACATGAGCTGATTTAGTTAATCCCACACAGGGTGTCATCTCTGATGTCAGAGTCCGTGGTTACCAGTCAGAGACTGATAAAATATAGTCTCATCCTCATCAAGCTATCTGGTAATGGCTCTGGACTGCCAAGACAAATAGGTGGTCTGACCCAAACCGGATTGTCCTCTGTCCAAAAGGGGTTCAGTTTGCCAGGATGGTCGGGTGTGGAATGGAAGTGGAAGGGTCATTCCAATGGAGAACCCCCCCCCCAGGGGTTTCCCAGGGGTCCCAGGGGCACTCTGGGTGGTGTGTTCTTGGCCTAGGGGGGTTTTAGGGTTTCAGTCACCAGCCACACATTTAAAGGCTTGCCAAAGTGAGCCAGCTCTGTTCTTTTCTTCTTTTTTCTAGCATTTTGTCCTTATCACATCGGTCACTTCTCTATTGTTGGGCTGGGTTTTGAGGACTATGTAAGTATTTTCATTTTGCAAGTTCATAATAAAAAGAAAGCCTTTTTAGTAACAGTATGATTCTTTAAATGTTTAGATTATTTTTAAAATTTGAATTGGAAAATTTCCCTGCTAAATGGCTAAATAAATGTATGTGTGCCCCATGGAACTTACATATAACTAAAATTACATGTAACTAAAAACTTTAAAAGGAGTACGTCAGCAGCTGGACTAATCTTTAACCTGAGGCAGCCTTGATAATTGCAGGAGATTTTAATGCTAGGGCAGGAGCAAATGATGAGGCTGTCTATTCCCGTTTTCCTCCTGATTCACTGGAGGAACCCTCTCTTTGTTATAGACATTCTCAGGAGAACGGTGTAATTTTGCAGGGTTATGCAAATAGTTACCCATTTGGATCCAACTTTATTAAATGGAAGAAATAGTGGGGATAATCTGAGAAACTATACTATCTGGCATAGGTGCATCTACAGTTGATTATATCATGGTACATAATCTCTTGGGATTGCTGAAGGACTTCCGTGTAGATTGTTTTATTATGCGTGATCACTTACCTCTTGTCTTGATTTTGAAGCACGTAGAACAAAATGTGTATGTGTCTCAAGGTACTGGTGTGCAGACAAAAATGGAATTAAGAGCCTCCTGAATTAAATGGTCAGCTGAATTGTCTGATTTGATTAAAGGACAGTTTAATTCTGACACAGTCACTATAGGGTCTCAATAATATTGGCAGAGGATGGGGAGACTGCATTGGATACATACCACAAGTTATTTCAGTCTGTGCAAGAGTTCTATAATATATCATAATTGATTGACTACTTATAGAAGGAAACCCTGGTGTGATAAGGATTGCCAAGTGGTAAAAAAAGCTCTTGTTGAAAAGAACAAAGTTTATAGAACACAGAATACGATAAGACTGCCAAATGAGTGGTATGAACTTAAAAATACATATAAACTGCTTACTAAGAAGAAAAAGCAGCAGTATCAGAAAGATATTTGGCAGAGGCTAATTGTAGGTACTAAATAAAATGAGGCAGCCTCCTTTTGAAAGATAGTGGCAGGAGGTTTATGTGCACAGACTGTATTTCCCTGAGACATGTATTTCAGCAAGTGATTGGGAAATGTATTTTCAGAGCATTTTTGCAGCAGATGCTGTACGCCTGTACCTGAGCAGGTTGACTTACCTGTATGGCCCCTGGTTTCTGCCCTTGAAGTCAGAAATCTTATCCTTCAGCTTAAAGTCAGAGAAAACTCCTGGAGCTGATAATATACCACCCAAAATGTTAAAGGACAACCTCGATTGGTAGGTTCCCGTGTTAGTGACTCTGTTTACATGGATTGATCGTACAGACAGATTGTGAATGATTGAGGTTTAGCCAGGGGCTTTTTTGTAGAAAAAGCCTAGCAGAAACTCATTAGCATAATAGGCCACTCCCAACAGTAGGAATTCATTAACATATTAGGCCACACCCCTGACAGCATGTCTCATTAACATAATAGGCCACACCCCATGCCTTCCCTTGGCTTGCCTGGGTGCCCTGCAGCTGTGGGGCGCCCAGGCAAGCCCCCCCCTGAAGAGAATGGAAGGCAGTTTAAATTGCCTTCCCTTGGCTTGCTTTGGCGCCCTATGGCTGCGGGGGACCCAGGCAAGCCGGCCCTTGGACAGGCCGGGGGAGGCATTTAAATGCCTCCCCGATCCTTCCAGGGCTTCCCCTGGCCTGCCCGCCTCAGAGTCGTCCGGGGTGTGTGTGTGTTATTCCTGCTCAAAAATAGCCCTGGGTTTAGCTACAATGATTCCATTTTTAAAGAAGAGTTGTAGGTCGGATCCCACTAATTATCGTTCAGTTAGCCTCTTGAGTGTTATTAGTAAATTGTATGCAAAACATCTGTCAGAGAAGTTGTTGGTTTGACTTGAGGAGGAAAATATCCTTGCAGATGAACAGGCAGGTTTCAGCACTGGAGGCTCAAGAATTGATCAGGGCTTAATTCTACAGCGCCTTGTAGCTTAATATGGTCACTCAAGAAGAAGAGCTCCATTCATGGATTTATTGATTTTAAATTAGCTTTTGACCTTATACCTGGAGATAGATTATGGGTAAATTTACAGAATACATCTGTTGATAATCACCTGTAATTATTGATACAGTGGCTCAGACACCAGGTTGAAGGTCATTTGTAGCTGTGGTGGGCATTGGACTGACTCTGTTCATACATTTAGAGGTGTTAAGCACACTAGTTGAGACCCCTGAAGATCCTATATATCATTCTCCCAAGTTGGCATCACGTTCTATTACAACTCTTCTATATGCAGACGATGTAGTGCTATTGTCTTTAACTCCTATAAGTTTAAAACGATTTTTGAGAGCGTTAGCAGATTTCTATGATAAAGAAGGTTTAACAATCAATTTTAGTAAGTCCAAAGTTCTTATTTTCTCCAAATGCAAAACGAGATATAGCCGATCAATTAACGGAAACAGCATTGATCAGGTTAAGCATTATAAACATTTAGGAGTAGCTTTTCATGCTTCTGGTACCTGTCATGCTCAGTTAAAGGGTATGCCTAAAGAAGTTTAGCAGCGTTGTTGAGGTTTTTTACAGGAAGGGAGGAGGATCTATTCCTTCTGAGATTAAACTGTTTGCAGTCAAGGTAGTTAACCAAATGTTATTTGGATCACAGTTTTGTTTATATGAAAGTTTTAAACCATTGGAAATAATACAAACTAAATTTTTAAGAACTATACTGGCTCTAATATACTGTGTGCCAAGTTTTGCCTTACATTCAGAAGCTGGCCTGATTACTGTTGAAGCTCGAATGTGGCTGTCTTTGTTTAGGAACTGGCTGAAATTAATTTATTTTCCCATAGGCTTGGCCCCATTAATATTGATTGACAATCATCAATCAAGGTGGGGAAGAATCTCCTAAATCTGAAGTTACAGAAAATGGGGTTTTCTCCTAGGGATTTATGAAAGCCTCATCTGTGATCAGCCAAAGAATTCATGATCTAGAGCTACAGCAGCATCTGAGTGTTTCTAGGAGATACTGTTATAGAGAGTATGAGCAATTTGCACCAGCAAACTATTTGGGGAATTGTACAGCTCTGAAAGCAAGATTAGCTTCTTCTCAGGCACAATTTAATGTTTTCCCTTCTGGGTTGTTAAAGGGAGATACCAAAAACACCCATATTATGAATGGAATTGCCCCCACGGTAGTCAAGAAGTAGAAACAATAGGACACATTCTTCTATATTATCCTTTTTATAAAGATCTTCGCAATGAACTGCCTATTCTACAAAAATTTCCAGGAAGAACAGAAAAATCTTATCTTATTGTCCTCCTGCAGATAAATACCATGAGATTACTGAGAAGGTAGCTAAATTCTGCTCAATAGCAAAATTTACCTGTGCTTCACTGGGAAAGTAGTTATGTTGTTGTATTCTATTAAACTATGTTAATTTTACATGTAGGGTTTTACTATTTGAAAATGTGTATGTATTTTTCCATTTTTACTTTTAATGATTTTTATGGGATCATAATTGATTGTATAATGGAAATTTTGTAAATAATTTGTTGTTTAACTACCCTGGTCACTGACCATAACAATAAATATCTATCTGTCCTCTTCAGGTTCAAGCATCTCATTTCGAAGGCCTAATCACAACAATAGTTGGTTATGTGCTGTTGGCGGTCTCACTAATTGTTTGTCATGTATCCTTTCATAAATACCTGCCTGCCTGTGTGCTCACTATCTGATCTACAGACGGACACTGTAAATACACTATTCCAAGTGTTCTGTCTGTGCCCCTTTAAGGAAAATATATTGCGGAATTAATCCTGCTGGATAAGAACATAAGAGAAGCCAATGCTGGATCAGGCCAATGGCCCATCCAGTCTAACACTCTGTGTCACACAGTGGCCAAAAATACCAGGAGCCATCAGGAGGTCCAGCAGTGGGGCCAGGACACTAGAAGCCTTCCCACTGTTGCCCCCCCCCCAAAGCACCAAGAAGACAGAGCATCACTTGCCCCAGCCTGAGAGTTCCTAACTATACCTTGTGGCTAATAGCCACTGATAGACTTCTGCTCCATATGCTTATCCTTTCAGTTTCCTCCTCACATGTCCCCTCATATCAGAGAAGTTACCCCTTTGAAAGTTAAAAGTGGTTGTGTCAGTCTTTTTGGGCAACTCCCTATTTATACAAATGTTAAACTCAATAACATTATGGTCACTGTTCCCAAGCGGTGCAATCACTTTTACATCTCTCACCAGGTTTTGGGCATTACTTAGGACCAAATCCAGGATGACCTCTCCTGTGGTAGGTTCTGTGACCATCTGGTCCATAGCACAGTGATTAAGAATGTCTAGAAACTCAATCTCTTTTTCCCGCTTGAACAAATATTGACCCAATCAATGTGTGGGTACTTAAAATCACCTATTACGACACAGTTATTTCGTCTAGCTGCTATCTTTAATTCATTCATCATTTTATAATCCTCCTCTATCTTTTGATCTGGGGGGCGATAACAAACTCCTAGTGTTAAGCTTTCTTTTGGGCCCACTATTTCAACCCATAGCATTTCCAGAAGCAAATCCAATTCACTTTCCCTCTCAATCTTACTGGACTGTATACGCTCTCTGATATACAGAGCCTCCAACCCTTTTCCCCTACCCTCCGATATAATTTATAACCAGGAATCACCGTATCCCACTGATTTTCCTCATCCCACCAAGTTTCTGAAATACCCACAATGTCTGTTCCCCCTCCCCAACACCAAGCATTCCAATTCCCCTATTTTACCTCTGACACTTCTAGCATTTGTGTATAAACACCTATACTTTCCTGTGCATGTTAAGCCCACAACCTTCTTCTTGCTGCCTCAAGACAGTAATGACTGTGTGTGTCAGAAACTATTTGTTAAACTATGCCTATTCCAGGACAAATATCTGCAAACTAGCCATCTTTTGAGTAGAAAAATTGTTCTAGTGTTGCAACCCTCTGGGTAGTTACTCAGTTTTAATAGGTTTTACTTCAAAGTAAAGGAGCTTGTGATCTGGTTGCAAGCCTACAGGAACACACCTGTTCTTTAATAAAACAAACTAGTTTCTGGGCATGAGGTTGGCATGTATCCTGCTGTACTTTAAACCGATATTCCCTCTGAGCGGAGCAGTTCACATCCTGAACAGAATAGAGCTTCTGTAATCTTAAAATGGGCAAGACCCTGTGGGGCTCCAGACTGCTGCTGAGAGAGGGGGCTTCCTATGCTAATGAGTGGCTGCTCACGTGCACAGCTTGGAGGGAACAGGGCAAAACCCCGCACTCTTTCTCCCACACCTGTTTGGGAACTATTTTTGTAGGGCTCTTGTTTGGCTTGCAGCAAAACCTCCTGAACTGAAAAGTAGGTTTGAGTCTCTCTTTAAGTTCTGGAGTAAAACGTGTGCATCTTGCTCAACTAGTACAGGAATTCTAGCTCTACCCATCCCCCCCCACCATCATACCCCCTTTGAGAAGAATCATAAAGGAAGAAGGGTGATCCCAGTGTTATTGTTTTAATTCAACTAGATGCCAAAGCATCCATTTTTCTCCAGGGGAACTGATCTAGGTGCTCTGGAGATGAGCTGTGGTCCCACCTGGAGGCAGGCATGCCTATTTTCAGATTGGTTTTTAATATTTCTTGTATCAAATTTCTCCCTCTCCCAAAATACTAGAATGCAAGGGCATCCAATGATGCTGACGGGCAGTAGGTTTAAGATGGACAAAAGGATAAAAGCTACTTTACACAGAGAGTGATTAAAATGTGGAATTGGCTGCCAGAGGATGAAAGTGATGGCCACAGGAACAGACAGCTTTAAAAGGTGGCTTAGATAGGTTCCTCAGTGGCTACTAGTCGTGGTGTTTGAAGGGAGCTCCCATATCTGAAGGCAACCAGTCTCCGAATACTAGTGCCAGGAGGCAGGATCAGGGGGAGGCCTCGGCCTCCATGCCCTGTTGTTGGCACCTTCAGAGTAGCTGGTTGGCCACTGTGTGTCACAGGATGCTGGACTAGATGGACTGTTGGTCGGATCCAGCAGGGCTCTCCTGATGTTCTTCTTATGCCTGCTTCAGAATCTCCTGTTGCTAAGCATTCTTTCCTGTGGACGTCTCCCCTTCCTCTAAGCAGCAGGGCACCAAGTTAGTCTTTTGCTTTTCCTTGACCATATTATATAGGGCTTGGCTGCACTTGTCAAATTCCAGAGATCACGTCGCTTGCTTGGGGTGTGCTACATTGTTGTCAAGGTAGTACAAGTCTTAAAAAACAGATGCACGTGTAGTGTAAAATAACATTATTCATTTGCAATAAGACAATTTAAAAAAAATCTTTGCCTTTTTGTGTTTGAAGGTATCGCTATTAGTGGTTGTAGAAATTGGCGTTTTCCCTCTCATCTGTGGTTGGTGGCTAGACATATGCTCACTGGTAAGATCAGCATTTATTGGGCAGCAATCATGTTATACTACATTCTAAAGACAAAAGTTATGCTTGAAGAGTAAGGCAGCCCCATGTTTAAAGTGGGAACAACAATACATTTTTGTGCATAAGTAACTGTTAAGAAATCATTGCTTCTAAAGCCCTGTGTATTAGCTAGATTTGCTGAAAACACAACTGATTTTATATAATTTGAAGTGATTTGTTTTAAGGTCTTCGTTTTCCATGAGTACTATACAATGTCACTTCTCAAAGCACCAACTGTCATGCTAACACTACTGGAAACGTTTATTCTACAAGATGTTGCTGAAGGGGCCTGCATGCTTTCCCTTTAGTACTAAATACCTCTTTCAAGTATGTATTTGCAACTGTGTTGTTATTTTAAAATGACACCAGTTCTGCCAGGTGTAGAGTTTTAGGCTCTGCTTCCAGTGTGTCGTATGGTTCCTCCTAGGAAATGTTTGATGCTACTTTGAAGGACAGGGAGCTGAGCTTTCAGTCTGCCCCCGGCACGACAATGTTCCTGCACTGGCTCGTGGGAATGGTGTATGTCTTCTATTTTGCATCCTTCATCCTCTTGTTGAGAGAGGTAAGTTGCAATTTCCTGAAAACACATTTGCAAGATCCTGCCAAGTATGTTCAGTGACTTCTGCCATTTGACATGCTGAAGCAAACTAGAGAACAGGAACACGTCAGGCTTATGCTGTGCAAAACTCTGCACGTGTGCTAAAATGTCATGGATTGCATATGAGTGTGGCTCACAGAATTGGCTGCTGGATAGACAGCCGCAAGGATCCATGCCTTGCCATAGTACGGCCTGCTCTGCAAGAGTATTCACTGTACCACGATGGGTGAGATGGTGGTGGGCTGCATTCCACACTGCTGCTGGCAGCTGGATGGAAGTGCTGCAGGGCCCCACAGTCTATTTTGCAGAGTCTCTGCGCTCAGCCTGGCATTGGCTGAGGGGAGAAGAATGTGCCCGGCAAATCTGGGAAGGGAAGAGGTAATTTCATGGATCAGAGACAAGGAGTGGGGAGCACAAGCATATGCGATACATTTCTGATCTCCAAACCAAGGGGAGTGTTGACTTTGAATTGCAAGTCAGAAGTTCTGCATTGGGAGCATTTGGTACCCTGTGCTGCAGGCCTGTAGTCGAAAAACTTTGGTTGGGGGGGGGGGGCACCAGGGGCATGATGTCACTTCCGATGTCACAAAAATTAATAAAAATAAATCAGATAAGGGCAACAAGAAGATCTTGTTGACATGAAGCTGGGTGGGATTGCTAATTCTGAAGAAGACAGAGTCAGGATTCAAAATGATCTAGATAGGCTGGAACAGTGGGCTGAGACAAATAAAATGAACTTCAATAGAGAGAAGTGCAAAGTCCTACACTTAGGTACAAAAAATCAAAGGCACAGATAGAGAAGGGGAGGGACTTGGCTTGACAGCAGCACGTGTGAAAGGGATCTAGGTGTTCTGGTTGATCACAAGCTAAACATGAGCCTGCAGTGCGATGTGGCTGCGAAGAAAGCTAATGCAATCTTAGGAAGCCTTGTGTCCAGATCACGGGAGGTGGTAGCTCTGCTCTATTCTGCTATGGTCAGGCCTCATCTGGAGTCCTGTGTCCTGTTTTGGGCACCACATTTTAGGAAGGATGTTGACAAGCTCGAGCGTGTCCAGAAGAGGGCAACCCGGATGGTGAGAGGGTTGGAATCCAAGTCTTACGAGGAAAGGTTGGGTATGTTTAGCCTTGGAAAAAGAAGGCTTAGAGGGGACATGATTGAAGTCTTCAAGTATCTGAAGGGCTGTCATGTAAAAGACGGAGCAGACCTATTCTCTCTTGCTCCAGATTGCAAGACGAGATCTAATGGGTGGGAATTACAAGGGAGTCGTTACCGGTTCAATATCGGGAGAAACTTCCTAACTGTCAGAGTGGTTGAGCAGTGGAACAGTCTGCCTCGGGAGGTGGTGGATGCTCCTTTGCTGGACGTTTTCAGGCGGAGGCTGGATGACCATCTTTCGGGTATGTTGTAGGGGCTATCTTTCGGCGATGCTCCTGCGTAGTGCTGCAGGGGGTTGGACTAGATGACCTGCAAGGTCCCAGTTCCAACTCTCACATGCTGTGATCTGGGGAAAGGGCCCCTCCCTTCCCTCTTCCCCTTTCCCACAGGAGTTACATGGGGAAAGAATAAAGGCTCTTTAGAGGGCCGAAGCCCTGACTTGGATAGCCCAGGCTAGTCGTCCCCCCCCCAGACCTTCTGTCTCCACTAGGTGGGCCGGGCAGCCTGCCTGCATCACTTCCTGTGGGCTGAAGAAGGGAACGAGCAGGAAGGCACAAGGACAATCTGCTCGCTGCAGGCCCCGCAATGCACTCAGTCTGTCCCCAGCGGGCAGGAGGGATGCACTGTAGAGTCAACAGGAGCACCCCCATCTCTGCCTGTTTTAAATATGCTCCCCATTTATTTCCCTCACCCTTCCTGGCACGTAGAGGACTCCAGGGTGGGTAACAGGGTGTCAGAAGTAATCTTAGAAAGTGCACGAGACTGTTTCCCTTCCGCCTTTTGGATGTTTGCTAGGCAGACGTGGGGGCAATGTGCATGCGCTGTACTCACCCGAGGGAGAGGAGGAGGAGGAGCCTACTGGGGTCTTGCCCTTCCGGCATGCTGGCCACACGTGGCTAAAGCGCTGGAGGAGGCCGAGCTGTGCCGCGGCGGCTGGAGGCCAGTGGGCACCAAGCGAGGCTGCCCGGAGGAGGTGGTGCTCTGCAGTCTCAGAGGGTGAGGCGGGTGCGTGCGTGTGGGGCTGGACACCGCTGACGACCTGGCGTGCAGCCCCATGGGCTCGTGCCCTCCGTCCTGGGCACACGGCGGCAAGAAGGGGGGGGGAGGGGAGGGACTTGGAGGGATGGGCAGTGAGGGAGCAGGACTGGTGTGGTGAGGGGCCCCCCCCCCCCCCCCCCCGGCTGCAGGCCTGCTGTGCTGCTTAACGTGGCACTTTGCATCATGAACTAAGTCACGCCCGGTGGAACGTTTGGTTTAAGAATGTATTTATGGTGGAAAAACCAGGAGAAGATTTGTATATGATATGTCAAACTGTGGTATGAATGGAACTAGACAAGCATAGGTGTAGGAATTTTTCTGATGAAGAGGCGAAACGAAGAGTAATTCCAGAGGTTTTCGTCGGATTCACTTGCATTTTGATAGAAGTTCACCTTCACCTGAAACTTACCATTCTTTTGTGTATTAGTATCTGCTTTAATATTGTTGTATGTTATAATATACTTTGATACGCTCAAGTGCTGCTTAACGTGGCACGTGGATGGTGCCCAAGGGTGCCTACTGAGGATTAAGGGCTTCTACAGTTAGGCGCTCTTTATGTCCCCCTTGTGCTGGATTAGCTCATTGGTCATTATTACTGTACATTTACTGTACTGTTCAGTGACATACAGCTGCAGTCCAGTGGTGGCTTAAAGGCTAAAAATAATAATTCTATTGTAAGTTTCCGTGAGTCAGAGCCCATTTCACCAGTTGCACTGGAAATGCAGCAACCTGATGTATTGTAAACTCTGGTGCGTCTGGACTCCTGGTTCATCTTACTGCTGTAGACTAGCAGGGCTACCCATGGGCAATTTTATTTATTTATTTATAAGTTCAATGTATATACCGCCCTTCCCTGAATTCATAGGGCTCAGGGCAGTTGTCAACAACAAAAAAATACAATATAGATCAAAAAAGAAACAGTCAAGTTAAATTTAAGAACATTAAAACAATTTTTTAAAATTAGAAACATTAGATGGCGCCAAAATGAATACAGGATGCATTACTGGCCCACAAGTGGGGAAAGGCAAAGGGGGAGGGGGAGGGGTGCCCCGGAGCCGGAGGAGAGGGTGCCTCTGTGTCGCTGTCCTCAACCGTCGCTGTCAGCTCAGTGATAGATCTCTCCACCACCTATGAATGTGATGTGGTCGTATTATACAAATTTTGAATGGGAAGGTCCCCCAAAATGTAGAGACTTTCACCGTGATGATTACTGCTTAGTGGTGGTGTTGCATGTCATAGCTGTGATCAGTGGTGCTCCCAAAATGCCAGGAGGATGTACAAGGCCTGCCCACCTGGCTCTTCACTGCTGCAGTCTCCTACACTCAGAGCCACCCGAGGTGCCCTACCTTTGGTCCTCCTCACCCAGCCCCCCCCCCCAGTCAAGCTTTGGACTGCTTCTGCTGTACATCATGGATTTGCAACCTCTTTCCCCCCTTTCTCCTACTCTGCTGTCCCAACCTTGCCAATACATGTGCATCTCAGTTTAAAATTCCACTAAGTAGTTTCCCCATGCTTATCATCATCACCACACAAGTTTGGTGTAGTGGTTAAGTGCGTGGAGACCCTGGTTTGGGAGACCCGGGTTTGATTCCCCACTCCTCCACTTGCAGCTGCTGGATGACCTTGAGCAAGCCATAGTTCTGTCAGAGCTGTTCTCTCAAGGACAGTTCTGGAAAGAGCTCTCTCATCCCCACCTACCTCACAGGGTGTCTGTTGTGGGGAGGGGAAGGGAAAGGAGATTGTAAGCTGCTCTGAGACTCCAAGTGAAGGGTGGGGTATAAATCCAATCTCCTCCTCTTCTTCTTTGTGAAAATGGCTCATTTGTTTTGGGCAGGATGTGGGGAGGGAAATATTGTTTGGGTTGGGCTACATGGCATGATGAAAAGCAATTGAGTCTTTTTGGTTTCTAAAAATAAAAATGGAATGATAGGAAAAATTAGTTTCAAACATTTTAAACCTTCAACTGTGACTGTAGCTACCTATATTTTCCTTTGAAGTGTCCATTTCCCTTTTTCAGGTGCTTAGACCGGGCGTCCTGTGGTTTCTGAGGAATTTAAATGATCCAGACTTTAATCCTGTTCAAGAAATGATTCATTTACCTATTTATAGACATCTCAGGAGGTTTATTTTATCAGTGGTAAGCATTTTTCCAGTTTGTTGAAATTATAGTGCTGTTATTGTGGCCACTGTTTGCTGTTGATGTTTTTCTTCACTTATTTGTAATCCCCTCTTGTGAAACAAACCAGCTTGGATAAAAAAAACACAATGGTTTAAATTTTTTTTTTAATATAAATTGGATTTTGTTTGATAAAATGTTTTTTGAGAAAAAAATCTATCTAAACTGAAGTCAGAAATTGTGGGTCGAAATGGGTTTCTGATTCTGTTGGGCTAGTAAGTGCTAAATGTGGATTGCTGAGCTGTATACCACGGGAAACTGGTGGTTAAGTGCCTGACAAGGAACAAAGCTGCTGCGAAAGGGGAAGAGGGGAGTGTGTGTGAGCCCACAGTTAATTCATGCTTCTCCAAGCCAAGTCCTCTGCTAAGTTAAGGTTTAATGTAGAAAAACCATAATGGCATTTCTTTCTTGTTACAGATTGTCTTCGGGTCAATTGTTTTACTCATGCTGTGGCTTCCTATACGGATTATCAAATACCTCCTGCCTAATTTTCTTCCTTATAATGTAATGCTTTACAGGTAAGACTACTTCCTGAAAAAAGTTGTATCTTCTGTAACCTGCTAACTCACTTTGACGGCAGATACATTTTTGTACACTCTAGCTGCGAACTGCTACAGTGTTCCGTATGCAAAGTGTGCTCTGCTCTTTTTAAAATTGATGCTATTCTTAGTTTTTACATCTGCGAAGACTTAATAACGGTAGAACTCTTATATTTTTGATAGAAATTCCATAGGAACAAGAGATGCTCCATTGATTTGTAGGATTACCATACATGTTACCTGTTTTTTTTTACTTTATAAACTTGTTTGGGCCCTTTGGATGATGAGGTATATTTTTTAAAAGTTTGCAGTACTTTCCCATGTAACCACATAATTACTTGGCTACGTGTGTGTGGGAAAAAAATCAATTTATAATTATTTAATAATTACTCCTTTGTAATGTCAGTGTACACAGGATAGTTTAAGTATTATTTCCTTTTTCTCTTTTTCTTTCCCACAGTGATGCTCCTGTGAGTGAACTTTCCCTTGAGCTCCTTTTACTCCAGGTGGTCCTGCCCGCGTTGCTTGAACAAGGACACACGAGGCAGTGGCTGAAGGGGCTCGTACGCGCCTGGACGGTCACTGCTGGGTACCTATTGTAAGTGTAAGCTCACCCCCCCCCCCTCAGGTAGCTCACGAGGATTGTGGTGGATGAAATAACCTAAATGGAGCATTAAGTATTTGCAGTTAAATGTTTTGATAAAGTTCAGATGGCAGCATAGGTGAGACATAGGTTAGAAAGTCTGGCTTGTGTAAATCAACAGTTGGAAACGGGTGTGCATCTTTTGTTATTTTGCTTCTTCAGTGTTGTATAGAATTATAGAGTTGGAAGGAACTTCCAGGGTCACCTAGTCCAACCCCCTGCACAGTGCAGGAAATTCACAAATACCCCCCCACACATACCCCCAGTGACCCCTGCTTCATGCCCAGAAGATGACAAAAACCCTCCAGGATCCCTGGAGCCAAAATGGCTTCCTGACCCCCAAAGTGGCGATCGGCATTTCCCTGGGCGCGTAAGGAAGGGCCACAAGAACTAAGCCCTGAGGCAACCCTTCCCTGCCGCCTCCCTCCCATCATCTGCCCAAGTTCACAGAACCCGCATTGCTGTCTGATGGCATTGTGGTTATGTGAGTATAGGAACTGTTGTGTTAGTTTTAAAAAAAACATTACTTGTAGCTTTTGTGTTATGGAACTCATTCCCCAAGAGACTTGCGAGGTTATTTCTTGAGGGGACCTTGTTTTAGGCAGCCTGGCTTGACTTTCTGCTGTTGGACGTCTTAAGTGATTCTGTTTTAGCGGCTTTGTGGTGATGATGGTGCATGTGCATGTTGCTTGGTATTCAGCCTTCTGAACAAAAGGTCTTGTGCCTTTTTTTTTTTTTTTTGCATGTGGAAAGTAGAGATGTGGAGACCTGGGGGTGGGCGGGATTCAGGAAAAAACATTTTTACCTGTGGCCTTTTTTCAGTTTTTCCAGTGGAAAAGTTGGAAGCTTTGGGGAGTATTGAAAAAAACTCCTATGAAATATTTTCTTATTTAGAATGAGTAAAATGCTTTAAAGGCAAGGTAGGAGCTGCGGTGGCTCAAGTGGTTAAGACACTGAACTGCAGGCTGTGGAAGGTCGGTAGTTCAGCAGTTCGAGACCCAAGTGTGCCGCATGACGGAGTGAGCTCCCATCTCTAGTTCCAGCTCCTGCCAACCTAGCCATTCGAAAGCAAGAAATTGCAAGTAGATAAATAGGTACCACTTCAGTGGGAAGGTAACAGCGTTCCGTGCGTCTTGGTGTTTAATCATGCCGGCCACATGACCACGGAAATGTCTTCAGACAGCGCTGGCTCTTTGGCTTTGAAACGGAGATGAGCACCACAACCCTAGAGTCGGATTCGACTGGCTTTCGAGCAAGGGAACCTTTACCTTTACCTTAGGTATGCTGTAGACATAGACAGCTCTTAAATCCAGTATGCATTTCTGTACCTAGAAAGATACCGAATCGTCATGAGGGAAGCATGCAGGGCTTTAGTTGTTTTTCAGTTGTTGCATACCTTCTGTTGTCCTTTTGACCTGATTTACGGTTGACCTTTTCACATTTCTCTCAAACCACTGTGCACATATACCCACAGACTGGGTAAGAAGAAGCTTATTGCCCTACCTTGTTGGAGGGGAGGGGAAATCAAGAGGAGGTAGGGCAGAAACTGCACCAAAGCCTCAGGGGAAAACTCTGAAAGTTCCTTTGAGAACTGACCTCTCTCTAACCAGATGGCAAAAACTAAGGTACACGTGTGCTAAGACAGTGTAAGCCAAATGGGCCAGTCAGAAACACAACCAGTGAGGCTTCTGAAGTCAGCAGGAGAACTAAGAAACACAACCAGTGAGGCTGCTGAAGTCAGCAGGAAACTTTATTTGAACAAAGGGGAACCCAAGCCTCAGAAGCCTGAATTCCAAAGAACAAGTGAAGTTACAAGCTTTTTATAAGCATGCACAAATGGCTTTTGGACATCCATAGATGCCCATTCCTTTGTTTAACACCACATGCCTCTCTGTCCCATGCACAATTATTGTCACAAATTCTTATCTATGCTTCCATTAGCGTCATCTGTTTTCCATCAACATTTGACCATGTAGGTAACTCCCTAGAGCTCCCAGTACCACTCTGATTGACAAGGGAAGGTAGGATGCTATCTCAGACCATTAGGTAACCTTTCTAAAGTATGATGCCTGGTGTGTAGAGCTCATTATCTTACATACCTTGCGAAGGAATTCTCTTTTGCTATTCTACAAGCGAGCAAGTAGTGAAATTTTCCCATTGAGCTATTATTTCTTATTTCTAACCAGAAACCCGAAATGGAGTTTCTTTGGTCCTTGTACCACAGTATTTGTTTGTTTGTTTGATGTATACCCCACCCTTCCCACCACCAAGGCGATAGCACAGGTGCATCTGCTTGCAGTGTTTTCTCTCAAGTATTGGATGTATTTGCAGTTTTGCTTGTAGAAAACTGTAGCTAAATAAATTATAAAATGCATTTTATGTTGTTAAAGCAGTAAAATGACAGGACAATAAGCATTGTATATATTTCAGTTTCCCCCCAAATTTCTGTTTTTTCCTGTGGCTTCAAAATTCCCAGAAATTTTACATCTCTAGTGGAAAAATAATATGTTTTAAAATATCCTACATGGAAACCTGAGCCTTCGAGACACAACCGAGGGTTCCAGGTAGTGTCTTCAGTCTCTGAGGCTGCATTCAGATGTTGCAACAAGCTGCGGTGGAGCTGAGGTGTACGTGAGTGTGGCTTGTTGCCATGTTTGTGCCTCATTCTTCTCCTGTTTGAACCAAACTCTAGTTCCTCGTGACTTCTGAATGCAGGAGTTGGAGCAGCCAGGTATTCTAAGCCACATTGTAATCCAGGTTTGGAATCCTGGATTAAGCCAACTGCTATTCATCATGGTTGTGGTGTCCAGAGATTGTTTCAGATCAGGAATCTTTAATCATGTGTAAGGGAGAGAGAGATGTATGCAACATTAACAACCAGCCACGTTTATGTGTGTGATTGTCTTCTTTATTCATAAAAGCCACAGGCAATTTACATACAGTCTTAAATATTGTTACAGGGATCTGCATTCTTACTTACTCGGAGACCAGGAAGAGAATGAAAACAATGCCAACCAACAGCCTAACAACCAGCCTGCTCGCAATAACAATGCCATTCCCGTCGTGGGAGAAGGTCTTCATGCAGCCCACCAAGCCATACTGCAGCAAGGGGGGCCTGTGGGGTTCCAGCCTTACCGGAGGCCTTTAAAATTCCCACTCCGGGTAGGTGGTTCTGATGCAGGCGTGTCGGACTCATTTCTTTTGAGGGCCGGATCTGACATAAATACAGCTTTGTTGGGCCGGGCCATGTGTGTCATAAAATGTAATGCCTGGTAGTGGAGATATAAACTTTATCAAGGGCACAGGCAAACACAAGGTATTATTTTTTACTTAAAATACAAACATGCTTAATGTTTTAATATGTCTTAAAATATTACTTAAAATACAGGCATACTTAATGTCTTGCAGTATTTTGTTTATTTAACAGTCATTGATAACTAGCACCTCTTGCTCTGAATTATTGCATCAAATCAGGTGTTGAGCAAAAACCACGTAGGCAGACTGGGCTGATGCCCCCCATGCTGCCTGGAGTGGGGAGCAAACCATGCATGGGACGGAGAGAGTTGACAAAGAGGAGGAATTTTCCTTCCCTCTCCCAAAATGTTAGAGGACTTGAGGGTAGCCAGTGAAGCTGATGGGCAGTCAGCTCCGGACAGGCTAAAGGAGGAGTGCCGGGGGGGCTGGACTGGATGACCTGCAAAGGTCTCTTCCAACTCTGACATTCTATGATTCTATGAAATAAGTCTGACATAATTAATTGTTTCACAGATTAATAGAATTAGTAACACCCTGCAAAAATAGCCATTGAAAAGCCCCTCTGTGATGGACTGCACTTAACAGGTTTCCTAGTGCAGCAATTTCAGAAATCTGGGAGGTAAAAAGTTAATTCTTCACTGGAAGGGAGAACTTGAGTGACAGGCTACCCCCCCCCCCCCCCCCCCCCCAGCAAAGGAAAAGTGTATGTTTAGCTGACTTCAGAAACGTCCTTTTGAAGCACTTGCAACTTGTTGCTATGAGAGCTAAGCAGAAGGAACCTCTTGCAAAACGACATGGAGCGAGAACTTTGCTTGCCCTTCTCCGGCTGCAAAAGCAGCATTTGCAGAGATTGCTTATCCTCTGGCCACATGCACGGCAGAGGAAAAATAAAAACAAGCCCCAACAACACATTGGAACCAGCTTACAATCTCCCTTCCCTTTCCTTCCCCACAACAGAGGTAGGTGGGGCTGAGAGAGCTCTCCCGAGAACTGCTCGTGAGAGAACAGCTCTGAGAGAACTCATGACTGACCCAAGGTCACGTCAGCAGCTGCATGTGGAGGAGTGGGGGAATCAAACCTGGTTCTCCCAGATTAGAGTCTGCGCTCCTCACCCCTTCACCAAACTACACAGGGGAAAAAAGCACGACTCCCGAACTGAACCAGTCCAGCGAGTTCTGTTCCTCCTCTCTCCCGGTGGCGACTTCGAAGGGATGGGTGGGTTTAATGGCTCGCAGCCATTTAAACCTAACAGCTCGTTGGGTCTGCCAATCAGCTGTTAGGTTAGAAGAAGAGATTGGATTTATACCCTGCCCTTCACTACCCAAAGGTGTCTCAGAGCGGCTTACAAACTCCTTTCCCTTCCCCTACCCACTACAGACACCCTGTGAAGTAGGTGGGGCTGAGAGAGCTCTTGACAGAAACGACTCTTTTTTCAAGAACAGCTCTTCTCAGAGCTATGGCTTGCCCAAGGTCATCCAGCCAGGTGCAAGTGGAGGAGTGGGGAATCAAACCCGGTTCTCCCAGATTAAAGTCTTAACCACTTAACCACGACACCAAACTGGCTCGGGCCGAATTTCGGTTTGTGAACCAGTTTGTGCCCTAGCTGACTCTGGAAATAAATAATTTCCATGGGTAGGGTTTTTCTTTTGCGGCTGATGCAGGTCCGTCAGGAAGAGAATAAGTTTAACCTCAGTCCTGATAAGATGGAATTTCTTTTGGCAGGTTCTGTGACGTGGAACTCATTGTACCCTGGACGGGGTTATGCGTGACATTAGTGTAGGCTTGCAGCTAGTCTTGGACAAAGAGAATGTCTTTGGAATGTCCTCCCCAAACAAATTTGTATCACATTAAGATCCTTTTTATTTTCAGGAGCTATTATCGGTGTGTGACAAACTGCACTTTCTAAGAGGTTTAGAAGTACAGTACATAAAACTACAGAACTATGAAGGGTTAATACTTCACAGAGCTGGAGAGCCTTGACTGACAGGCTGCTTCAGGCAATCTGATTGGTTGGCATCAGCTGAGCAGAAAAAAAAGTCTTGTGAGAGCTGGATGCCGAGAAAAGCTGATTTGGATCCCTGCCTTAATTGTGACAAGACGTGTGCGTAGAAATCATTTTAGACTAGCCCTGACAGAAAAAGAGCTTAGTGCTGACAAAGTCAGAAGTCACCGTGACCAGTGTTCCCTCTAAGCTGAGTTAGTGTGAGCTAGCTCACAGTTTTTTAGCCTCCGGCTCACGGATTTTTGTCTTCGCTCAGGAAGGATGGCTCCAGAGCAAACTAATTTATGCAGCAGCCAAATCACTTGCTCAGAACTTTAATGCCAGTAGCTCACAAAGTAGGATTTTTGCTCACAAGACTCCATAGCTTAGGGGGAACATTGCCCGGGCCTGAATATAGTCTTAATTCAGCATTAGCTGACAGCAGTTTTGAACACACACAGCGACCTGGAGGAAAAGTTTGGCAAGGAGATTTGGGTAGCACAAGAAGTCTCCCATTCAGGCCAAAGGAAAGGGGGATAAATTTTCTAGGGAGAGAAGAAGAATCCCTACCCAGTTGAACAGGGAAAGTTATCTCTGAGGAGTAGAGTTTCCCTAGTCTTGTGTGATTGGATACTGCTTGTGGAGACTTAAAAGTCAGTTAACAACTCAAGAAGATTTCTGGTGTTCCAAGAGAAGGTGTTTGGGTACTGGGGAAAGGGGTACCAGCCTTCTGGGCAATGAAAGAGTCTCCTATTATACAAATATAGTGAACTGGAGTGGTTTGTGAAAACCCAGGAAGAAAAACTTATCAAAGTAAAGAGCTATAGTAACTGTGAATAATTCAATAAACTCTCACTAGCCTGATCTATAACAAAAGAGTTTGTGCTTCTTCTATTTTATGTCAGTATTTTCAACCCCTGACTTCACCTTTTACATTTGTGTGTGTGTGTGTGTGCGTGCGCCAGTGCCTGGAAGTCGTGACGACCTCTGGTGACTCCTTCTGGGGCATGGAGGGATGATCAGAGAAGTAGCTTGATAGGCTGCCTCTGCCTCCCAGGCCCTCGTATTCTTTGGAGGTTCCCCATCCAAATGCTTGGTCAGCCCTGCTGAGCTTCTGAGATAGACCAGGCTTGCCTGGGCTGTGCAGGTCTGGTCACCTAACCTTTCCCCTTGATGTTAAACAAAACCTTCTGTTATTTATGAATGTTAAAAGTGTCTCACGTGCCATTTTTTGTAATTTAAGTTGAAGGGAGACCCTAACCCTTCCCTCAGGTCCTGGACTGAGAAAGTAACCATGACATGTTTCTGACACAGGGTGGGACTGGCTCAAGCTCCTTTGCGGAGAAGGATGCACCCTACCGGGGCTGCTCAGTCAGTGCAGGGACACCAAAGACAAATGGAGGGGAAATCTTGCCTAAAAGGGAGGGAAGTGGGTGGGGGTCTGTCATAGGATGCCTTTGTTTCCCCAGCAGTGTAGTGTTTATACCCCAGTAGGGACTCACGGTGGCTTCCAACATTTTCCCCTTACCCACTTTATCCTCACAACAACCCTGTGAGGTAGGTGACTGGCCCAAAGACATCCAGCAAGCTTCCGTGGCAGAGCAGAGGGATTCAGACTGCCTTCATGCAATTTCAATGATTATCTGCCGAATTTAATCAGTCTTCTCTATGCTTTCGTGACAGTTGCATTTGCTTTCTTTCATTTTGATTTTACCATTTGCTGCTTTGTGGGCATTCCGAATGGAAAAAGCTGCCTTTATGTTTTATAATTAAATATTTTGAAGCTAGGTGTTCCTTTGTGCAAAGAAGGAAACGTAAACAAAGGTGTCGGGTACAATTCTTCCTGGTGCCAGTGCCGAGCTCAGGAGCAGAGCGGCCCCCTTGGAGCTCTGTGGGCTCGTGCAGCTCCCCCCCCCCCGGACTGCACCCTTGCAGACTCTGGCAAGGACTGGGAAGCTTGTTCCTCTTCTGCCTGGGCAGGCTATGCCTGCGTAAGGAAAGATGACCCCCATTTAAAAAATGAGCATCCAATCTTCTTGAACCCTGTGCATTGGTTAGAAACTGCAAAGCGTTTCCACGATCAGTATTAATCCCGTGACTGTGAATAATACACTGGGTAGTCTTCGAAATCAGTTTGTCCTGTATCGACCAGATCTGCAAACATCCTTGTCCTGTGTGAATGGGTCGCAGGTCCATGTCCATAGGGAGGCGAACAGACACTGCGTGTCCTGAGGTTTGGGATTGAAACATAGAGGTCCAGATCAGCCATAGGGAGGAAAACAGAGATGGTAATGGATTGAAATAATCAGGGAATCCAGGTTCCAGAGTAATAGTTCAATACATCTCAGCACAAATAGCACGCGGCACTTCATGATAGGCACTCTCAGGCTGGGGCAAGGGATGCTCGGTATTCTTGGTGCTGGGGTGGGGGGGCAACAGTGGGAGGGCTTCTCGTGTCCTGGCCCCACTGGTGGACTGGACGGGCCATTGGCCTGATCCAACATTGGCTTCTCTCATGTTCTTATCCAAGCACCCACCCAGTAGTTAATCCTCAGGGGCAATACAGGCCTCAGAGAACAGGAGACAAGAAATAAGTGGGGAAGAAGTGAAGGGAGAGAGGGCAGATGGAAGCGTTACCTATCCCTTCTGTACTGGGGACAGGAAGAAACCAAGCAGGTGACAGAGCTATGAGTCCAGAGAGGTGTGACCGTGGGGAATGAGGCTGAGTCCAACGGGTGTCTCAAAACCCAGGGTGTTCTGTCACCTCAGGATGCCAACACACCTCTCTCTCTCTCTCTCTCTCTCTTGTGTGGACCAGACGTACAGTTCCAGTAGTACAGTTTTTCATGTGCAAAGTGAAATATTTAAGAATTGGCCCCCATGTCAGAAACTTCGCATATACTTCCTCAGATATTAAGATTCCCATTGTTCTATGTAAATTGATCTTCAGTCGCTTCTAATGTACAAAACATATTCCACAAATATGTGTCCTCTGACGTGGAATAGAAATAGAATTGCTGCTTGAGCTGCCCTGAGAGTTCATCGTGCTTTTTTCCCCTGTGTAGTTTGGTGAAGGGGTGAGGAGCGCAGACTCTAATCTGGGAGAACCAGGTTTGATTCCCCCACTCCTCCACATGCAGCTGCTGACGTGACCTTGGGTCAGTCATGAGTTCTCTCAGAGCTGTTCTCTCACGAGCAGTTCTCGGGAGAGCTCTCTCAGCCCCACCTACCTCTGTTGTGGGGAAGGAAAGGGAAGGGAGATTGTAAGCCACTCTGAGACTCTTTCCGGTAGTGAAGGGCGGGGTATAAATCCAGTCTCTTCTTCTGTGTATAAAGTTCTTAATTCTTTTTGTTTTTGTGTGTTGCAGATATTTCTGTTGATCGTTTTCATGTGTATAACACTACTGATTGCAAGTCTTATCTGCCTTACATTACCAGGTATGAGCTGTTGATTAACCAGCTGCTTCTTTTTATGAAAATACCCACTTTTTCCCTTAGGTTGTTTAGACTGCTTGGAATAAAATAGGAAAATTGTCTGGCTTTTGAAAGCCTTGCATCTTCTGTTGTGCTGACTTTGAACACTAATCTATTTTTGTAAATCAATATCTAGCCCAACTTTATTTCAGTTGAAATAAAAACAATTTTCCTCTTGGCATCTCACAAATTCATATTGATCTTGGGAGTGTTGGTATATGGCTTACTAAAATACTATTGCTATTGCAAAGCTTTTCGGAATTTCTTTAAACAGAGATATTTATATTTATTTATTATTTATTACTTTCCATTTATGTCCCGCCTATGCTGGGGCAAACTGGCTCAAGGCGGCATACACAGTTAAAATGCACTAAAACAATAAATACAATAAAATAACAAATAAAAGTATTTGTGACATAAGAACATAAGAACATAAGAGATGCCAATGTTGGATCAGGCCAAAGGCCCATCCAGTCCAACACTCTGTATCACACAGTGGCCAGAAATACCAGTGCCATCAGGAGGTCCACCAGTGGGGCCAGGACATTAGAAGCCCTCCCACTGTTGACCCCCCCAAGCACCAAGATGACAGAGCATCACTTGCCCCAGAGTCCTTATCTATACCTTGTGGCTAATAGCCACTGATGGACCTCTGCTCCATATGCTTATCTAATTCCCTTTTGAAGCCGTCCATGCTTGTAGCCACCACCATTTCCTGTGGCAGTGAATTCCAAGTGTTAATCACTCTTTGGGTGAAGAAGTACTTCCTTTTATCCATTCTAACCCGCTCAGAAATTTCATTGAGTACTCACGAGTTCTTGTATTGTAAGAAACGGAGAAAAGTACCTCTTTTTCTACCTGCTCTATCCCATGCATAATCTTATAAACCTCAATCATGTCACCCCTCAGTCGCCATTTCTCCAAGCTAAAGAGCCCCAAGCTCTTTAACCTTTCCTCATAGGGAAAGTGTTCCAACCCTTTTATCATTCGAGTTGCCCTTTTCTGCACTTTTTCCAAAGCTATAATATCCTTTTTAAGGTGTGGTGCCCAGAACTGCACACAGTATTCCAAATGAGGTCGCACCATTGATTTATATAGGGGCATTATGATATTGGCTGATCTGTTTTCAATACCCTTCCTAATAATCCCCAGCATAGCATTGGCCTTCT